AAATGGATTCATTTGGTATTTATGGCAATAAAGAATTTTAAAATTCATCACTCATTTAAATGATAAAGTTGAAGAAGCTTGTGACATAAATCATTTTCATTCCCCAATAATCATCATCATCAAGGCAAAATGAGGATGAAGAGAAGGAAGAGAGAGAGATGACAGAAAAAATAAACAAGCATCAGTGGTAGAAAATTGAAAAAATAAACAAATGTAAAAACGATAATCACGAAATTAAATACAGCAATGAGATGATGAAGGAAAGTAAGTTGAAATGAAAAAGAAACTTGAAGAAAATGGAAAATGAAAATTAAATAAAAATCATTATGAGACAATGATGGAATGAGGGATATGAAACTGAAATTAATCCACTGTCGACCTTTGATTCCTTGAATTGATTTTCGTCAGATTTGGATGAGTTTATGATTGTGAGTGCTGAATTCAGGTTGATTATGACTTTACTATCTATATTTATTACTTACTAAAGACTAGTTTCTAGGACTACACAGAGTAATTTAAACTAGTCGCGATAAATTTTGGATTGTATCCCAAAATTTAGAACATAGATTTTGAAAACTTTCTGCACAAGGCCACGTGTCCTTATTCTTATTTTTCCTACTTGCTATGTCGACATCGTATCAAGTGTCCCCTCGGACTGTTAAACATCTTTTCCCTTCACTCATTTTTTTCTTCTCTTATATTTTTTTAATTAATAACATTTCATCCAACAGAAGGCCAACAAATTGTTGTTTGTGTTACCACTTCTCCTCTTTTTCATTCGTGTCGTATTTATTGTTAGACTTCTTTTTTTCTGCTCTCTAGTTTAATTGAGTTTCCCTAACAATTACTTACCGTTATTTCCAACTTTCTTTTCTTCTTTGATTGAAAATTGAAATTGTCAAAAGAAAGAAGTAAGGAAAAGTTCCATAGAATTTTTTTTTTATTCTCAAACATCACAAATGCTTGCAGTTGTTTATTTAAGGAATTAATGATATAGCAATTTGAAGTGTATTCGTTTCTCTGATGAAGATGAAAATTCTCTTCTCAAGAAAAAGTCGTCTATTCGCATTTGTATGAATTCATACAAATCCTATGGAATTTAGAGTTCTTTTGAATCTAGACTTCGAGGAAAAAGGGAATCTTGTTTAATGTAATGCTTAATCCGAAAGGAAATTCTTCTGAAATTATAAATTTTTTTGGAATCAAAATCATGGAATTTTAAGGTTGTTTTCTTTGAATTAGCATCAAATGGAATCCAAGCAGTTAAGCTCAATTTGCTTAATCTTAAGGGTCTCATCAGTTGCGATGCGTTGAGAGTGAATTTTTCTTTTTGCAAGCAAGGATTGCTTCAATAATCAACACATTCAGCTTTGTGTACCTTAGCTATTCCTCAAAACTCTTCCAAATAAGCTAAAAAAGCATTAATGCTTCAATCTTCTACACATTCTTTAATGTAACTCATGAATATCTACTCAAATTATGCCTTTAATAGAATAAATCCTTCCTGCAAACATACACCAAGCTATCAACATACACCATTAGAACCAAGCACTTGTTTACGATTCCTAATCCTTTTAAAAGAAAAGCATAAACTTCAACAACTTTCATGCGATATGTGTAAAAACTTTTCGACTCAATTCTCCCTATCATACATTCATTACTCATGACTACCTGAAACATTTCATCCATTTCTTAACTCATTAATTGAGAAAATGATACAATTATACAATTTTCATTATGATAGCTTATATCATGAAGCATTGAAAAAAAGCAGGAAAAATGAGTTAATGAGTAAAGAAGGGAAGTTGTTGTAATGATTGAAAGGATGATAAGCCATTTGGCATCATCATATTTTATGAGTCTCGAATGAAAATTAAATAAAAGATGAGAAGAAGAAGCATCAAAAAAGTGTTAATCATCGTAGACAATTCAGTTAGTCAGATAAAAGGTAGAGGGAGAGAAGTTCAATGAAATTTAGGTTTCGTATGACATGAGCGCATTTTTTAAATTGTCATAAAGTTCGTCCACATTCGTATATACTTTGAGTGCATTCTAGTATCTCAAAGGTAGTAAATTCCCTCTTGTTCAGCAATTTTCTCTCAATCTATGACAAAGAATCTATCTTATGTAATTTTAAACTCAGGGTTTCGATAAAGGCACCTGTCATAGGTGAGAAACATACAATTTCTTGATAATTTATAAGGTTTTTCCGGTTTTTCTATCAAAACCATATAAATTCTAATAAAAACCTCACAAATTATCAAGGAATTGTGCGGTTCTCACCTGTTCACAGTTGCATGTATCGCAACCCTGTTTTAAACTGAGCATACAACAGCTCATTTTCCTTAAAAATCCACACTCATAAGAATACAGTTCCAACAAACAAGCAAAAATGAGATAAAATAATCCTTTATTCTGTATGAAATGAAATAAATGAAATCATACATACAAAAATTGAGATTTGAAAAGGTCGACTATTGAAAAAGTTACTTCCATCCGAGAGTCCTTATGATATAAATTAACAATTGGTTAAAACTGAAAAATGTCATCTCCATCCACACATGGAATAATTTTCGAAATTTTTCATTTTCCCATTATTCATTCACAAAAGAATTCAACAGGATCTGCTAGAACCATTAAGTACATGCCAACGATATGATGATTACCCCTTTTTACGAACACACTGTACAGTTTTCCTAAATCTCTTTTTTATCCCTCTCTTTTTTAGACGTATATAGTTGAAATAAACAAAAGTGGGAATTAAAACTTTTCCTTCATTACCTTCGTTATGTGAATATTATAAATTTTGATAGAATTTCCACACAATGATTTGTATTTTTGACCATAAAACATTTTTTTTTTGCCTCACTTGAAACTGTAGATTATTGTTATTCAGCAATTTTTAATCCCTCTAATTATTGTGTAGACATGAACGACTCTTTCTGTCTTTATACTTTTTTGAATCATTTTAATCTACTTCACTATGCAAGCATTTTGAGAAGCTTAAAGTATCAAGTGAATAAAGGGGAAAGTGGAAAAAATTTAAATATTGACATTTCATATACCTTGATGTTGATGTTTTTATATACAAGATCGGAGATAAGACAGTTTTTGTTCAATCATTTAAATAAGGATGTTGAAATAGTTATGAACTTTAAATTGCATAGACAGAATATTGAATGAGTCACTAAAGTGAGGAGCATGTAGGTTAATTGCGTGGAACTTTTCTAAAAATCTATGTTAAATTACAAAAACTTAATTGCACATTTCTTAAGGTTCTATAACACTAATGATTGTCATTAAAGTTCAGGGATGAATCTAGAAATTTTCGAGACAAAAAACTTGTTCCTTAAATTCACAATTTCAAAAATTTGTCGTTTTTGTTAAAATCTTATTTTATTTTTTCTAACGGCTTAATAAAAATCAAATCAAAAAATTTGTAAGGTTCAAATTTTTGTAACGATTTAAAGCACAAATGTTTAAAGCACTTGTCATGTTTGAAAGAAAATTCAATTTTTATTAACATGAATAAAATAAAAATCAAGTTGTACATTTATTTTTGATACCGAAATTATAGAAAAATCTAAAAACATTTGTTTTTGTTTCTTGTTAATCACCACAAAATATTTATGAAACCTCACAAGAGACTTTTAAGTTCTTGACGTTAAAAGTATGACAGCATAAAATGAAATGAATATGCCGGTCATTTAAATTAATATTATCTTGACTATTTTTATTTTTTAGTCATAAAATCTAGAATTCTACTGACACAGTCATTTATTGTCTGTATTAAAGTACATTACATTCACTTATCTCATACTTTACATAATAAAATCTCTTGAAATAAAAAAATATAATTCCCTTTGTGATCAACAATCTTTAATTATTTTCTCATTTCAACACAGAAAACCGAAGGAAAGAATTTAAAAATTACCGATGTTGGGCAATGCTGAGACATGTGAATATGAATTAAGTATTAGTAACAATTAGATCCGCAATTAAAATTTCTTCCATTTAAATCAAAGAGCTAGCATATGCATTGGTTGCATAAAAATGTGCAAATTGGAACTGCATTTGTGAAAAGTGGTTTGTCATCTTCAATAATTGATATGAAAAGTAGCTTTGTACTTAAGATTTCCTATCATTCAAGTCAATTCAATGCAATCATTTTCTACATGCACACAGACTTGATTTTGCAAGGAAGAAGAGTTCATTGTTTCTTCATGCATTTATATCTTTCTTTAGCGACTCTTTCTCATTTGAATATTTTTATGAGACAATGCAAAATGTTTTGATAAATTTAGAATCTTAAATTTAATCGATTATGAATTTATTTAAAATCATTTAGAAATTTGCATCACACCTTTATCTGTGACGGCTGTTGGGTGACTATTAAAGTATTTGGTTTATATTGAACCTTATCTATGTTTGAGTTTATTATAGACGTATATTATAGGTTCTCTATATGTTCTCTATATGTTAACTTTTTGAATTGTTCCTGATCAATGTTCTATAAAACCAATGCAAGAATTCTTTAGTATTCAGTTCCGCACAAATCTAGTCACCCAACCAAAATAACCTTAAAGTTCTATGACGATTCAAGTCAAGTTCTACATGCGTGACTTGCTTAAGAATTATCTCAAATCCGGCATCAGTACGTAAGGATTGACATAAGTTAAGCACATAAAAAACTTGTATACATTCTTATCATTGGCATTTAAATGGGTAAATCCATTAGCAGGAATGCAAAAAAAAATCTAGCATTGCTGCTCAACAAATGAGCGTAAAAATGCAATTATTGTAGGTGAGATAGCAGCAGTGCCTCAAAGAAGGGGGAGAAAACAAAAAAATTATTGAAAAAAACGAATACAACAAAAATTAAATGATTAAAATTCATTTCAAGTCAGTTCGCAAATGTGTAGAAAAATAATTTGCAACAGTTTCTATTCAAGAAGAAATTAAGTTCAGTTTAGTCCTAGACGTTGACGTGATCGGTTGAAAAAAATAAAACATAAGCATTTTTAATACAGAAGTAGTGCAATGACACATTGAAAAAAAAAATAGTAAAAAAAATGAATGAAATTAATTTTTTTATTAGACTGCAACTTGCAATAATCGTATTGACCATATCAGTCATCAATTGTGTGCCAAATTGCAGTAGTGAAACAGAAATATTCATGCAAAATGACAATAATTCAGTAGCAAATGCAAGTGTCAACCTTATTGAGACAGTGATAAATAAAATAAGTTACAATGATAGTACTTTACCCCACAATGTCGTCCCTGATGTCTCTAATTATGAAAGAGGTAAAGAATTGTGGATTATTAAATAGTCTGGAGGTTGATTTTCGTTATAAAGTGGCATAACAAGGACTCTTCATATTGTGCAATTTAATCAGTTAGCTTTAGGGAAGTAGCAAGGGAAACTTGTCCTTCCATTCTTAGCTCCAACCCCTGCCTCGAATCTAGTCAAATTTTACTCTTTCTTGGTCACAAAATTTTGAATTTCTTTAATGACATAATCATCAGCACCTAGACAAGGTTACTGAATTCACGTTAAGCTCCTCATTCATGAAATAATTTTTGTGCATTAACAAATTGACATAAAACCAAAAGACAATCAAATCGTGCCTCAAATTGTTAATCATTCAAAGAAATTTTTATTATCGGTGTTTATTTTTCATTATTTACAATTTCTGTTGTTGTGCTTTTGTTTTAAATGTTATTATTCAATCCATTGTGATTTATTGGCAACAATATGATGTTATTCAACTAATGACTTAATAAAAATTGAAGGTGGAAATTCTAAAAATTCTTTTTCGGTGACGAAGTTGAGTTTCTAATGAGATTTTAAGTTTCTCAATTATTTAAAGCTTTTAAGTGGTGGAAAATCTAACTTAATTAATGTCAAAAGATCATAATAATCGTGATTGGGTTCTACTGGTTTAATTATGCGATGCATCAATGCAAAGTTATTCAAAGCATCACGATATCTCATCTCGTGATACTGTAATAAATGAGATAATAATATGCACGAGTTTGCAACAAAGTTTGTCAAAAAAAACAATTTCCCGAATGGCACAAGTCGGTTAATCGAATAGAAATCCGGTGACAAGCCGGTATGATTCTAGCATGGTGCTGGCTTCGATTTAAATCCAGCACCATGCCAGAGTCACACCAGCTTGGTGCCAGATTTCTGATTAATTAACCGACTTGTGCCATTCGGGTTTGTTTTGTAAATTGAGGCAATTTGACAAGGCTTCTCTAGTATATGCACTGTATACAGTACAATATAATCATCTGCTTTATTTTATAGCTTCATTAAAAATTGACACTTAAAGCAGTGATTCTTAAACTTGTTTTCTGTGTACTAATCTTGAACTTATCATTTTTAAGATAACTTAGTACTGAAATTTCATAAACCGATTTGTATTTTATCAGATTTTGTGGACTGATAGTCAAAACAATCAACAAAAAATACTAGAAGCATTATTTGATTATTTTAAAGAATTTATAACAAATAACTAGAGCGTAGAACATCTGGTTTGTACTTACCCTATAGCATACCTGCTAAGACAATAAGCAAGTCAAAACATGTTAATAATCTATGCATTTCTTTACCATTGTTATTGTGCATTCAAAATTTACGTCTTTAATATTCTTGACTATTACGTGTGACAGTCTGAATAAAAAAATATAATTATCTATAAAAGTTCTTAGGATTTGCCGGTAAATTAGAAATGAGATTCTTAAAAATTTAATTCAGGAAATTCCAAATAAATTATGACACTTTTGTGCTCAAACTTCATTGAAAGCCTGCCAAATTATCTCCAACAAATCATAAAACTGCTAAATTTTGACTATTTATCACTGATCTGATTCATATTCAACATAATCATTACTGAGCATTGCGGAAAAAATGCACACAAGCAAGACTTTCGCTGGTCATGGTCAACAACGGCGTGGTTTAAGCGGCATTTACACAAATTAATTCTATGATATGATCGAGATTCGATTAAATTACAAGAAAATAATGAAAATTTAAATTGTCAGGTTTATTTTTTCTGATCATTTAAAAATTTCGCCTACATTGCTGCACATAATTGAAGTTTGGCACTTACTTTGTATTCTTTTTAAACATGTTGTTCATCAAATTGTCATTAACATAATTGTATCGTTAAAAATCAATTGGACATCCAATTGTGATTGATGAGTTAATGTGACGTGCTGTTCACACAGTAAATTAAAGTTACAGAAAGTTTTCATTTGAAATTTATGGTTTATGAAGTTTTTATGTTAAAGATTAAATTTTTAAAAATGTTAAGAACTGATATAATTAAACTCTTAGTGGGGTAAACTGTGGCTTAGAGGTTTATAACCTTAAATTAATTTTGTTGGCTTCATTTTCAATTCAACTTAATGACTTAAATTTGACAGAACAGTCAACCAAAGAAGTGATGCCGATAAAAATTGAGAAAACTAACCTGCACAATATCTAAGCATTATTTATAAACAGAACAGCAAACAGCATAAAAACAGGTTTTCTTTTTGCAAGCAGAACAAACTCGCGTGCTTCAAAATATGAGAGAAAAGTAAAAAAAAAACATTCGCACTTTTTCAATGTCAAGCTCAAAGCATTTATCAATTTAATTATGAATTATTCACACATAATTTCTATGGAGCTTCTGTTTTCGGAATTGCAAATTACAGCATAGTAATAAGCATTTCAATAAAATATGAATAATATCTTGAGCTCAATGCATTTAAATCAATTATGTAATTAATTTTTAAAAACTTATTTCTTTCGATAGATTTCATAAAAATTTTGAGTGAAAAATATTTAAAGACTTTTCAACCCTTCGACTTATCACTGGTACCTTCAATCTCAACCGAATGTCGAGATCATGCACAAATGTTTTTCGAATCATTATCTAAATTTGAGTTTTGGGCCTTAAAATGTAAGTTCAGAACCTTCAATTATTAGCAATTAAATTTAAGGTTTATAGGAGGTTTAAAAAATTACTAAAATGCATTGTTTATAGTACACGATGCAACTGCAAGGTTTACATCCGGCCTGTTAAATGGAAATATCAATCAGCTGGGTGATTTTGATCAGTGTCTGAATGTCAAAGCACCAAATGACGAATTCCAAGGCAAATATTGCCTTACTTATCTTCAACCAAGCATTCCAGAATCGCAGAGATATACAAATTATTTAAGAAGATTATTGCAGTCACACGATGCATTCAAAAGCAATTTCGATGATGTGAGTATTTAATTAACATGATTATATATTTGTTAAGTTAGGAGATGCAACAAAAACAGCAATTATAAGATTGATTAACATTTCATTGCTTGAATAAATGTTGTAATTAGAATTGTTGTCTGTTAATTGCTAATCATCTGTGCGTTATGAGATATCCTCGACGTTTTGTGGTTTTGAATGCGGTTTTGTTGGAACTTTAATCCTAAAACTAATTACAACTGTATTATAAACTTCTTTGTGGCTCATTTTATTGCGAAAAATTTAATTAACACTTTACTCATGTTTTGGAAAAATTAAGTTTAAACATTTTAATTTCTTTTAATCCTCAAATTCCTGTATTACGATCAATTAACGTAAAAATGACAAATCCCAAAAGAAAATCATTTCATTAAGCAACTACTGAATATAAACAATGAATCATGTCCATTTAGGAAACACATGATAACCAATGGACACATAATTGCGATAATTTAACAATCAATACACTAATCCGCAAAATAATTAGCATAAAATTCATTTATTAAAATCCTTGAATGTAAAATGATAAAAACTGATTTACATTTGAATAAATGTTGGTGGAATTGAATTATTTCAAAAGCATGCATTAATCTACTATAATCTACAAAAGTATCAATTTAAAACCTAATAAATTATGCATCTTGTTATGACTTGTGTCATTGTAGTTCACAACTAATCATGTCTCATAAATTAAGCTTAATGTTGGCTAGAAAAGTAAACAACAGAAGATTGGCTTCAGCATCATTAATTAGTTGAAATCTATTAACATTTGAGTGTTAACATGATGATTAATGCCGTAATAGACAAAAATGAGAGTGTTGTATTATGAGAAGATAGTAAATTTTAGGTAAAAATAGTTCTTGGGTTTTTATGAACATGTGGATACGATGATAAAATTTTTTTTTAAAGTTGCTAATTGTTTGGATGGCAAACGAGATGTTAGTTGAAGATAATTTAATGCTAGCTGATGAGTCAGTCAAACATTTAAAAAGAAAATAAATTCAAAATTCTTCAAATTGGAGTCAATGAACTGCAATGTCATTACGAAGCAGACTTTAAGTATTAAGGTGGCTAGGAATTGATTAAATTAAGGATTGGAATAGTTTGTAAATGAATCTGCGATTTTTAAGCAATATCGCTGTGGCCGAATGGATAGTTAACCATCTCTTTTGTAAAGATATAAGTTCTAATCTCATCATATGACGACCATGATCGCCCTGCAAATGAAACTTTAGTTCAAACCTTTTTATTACATAGAATAAAGTAGAATGTCTCATAAATATAACATTGAACAAACACTTTGACTTATATCAAGTCAGTATTTCATAAACAAGATAACATATATAATTCAACATTGACAATATCCGTTCTATCTCAAGAAAATCAGTAAATTATGATTGCAATGCACTTTTTTAAGTAATAGACAAACTCATTCGGTGAATAACTTTTTATATTGTGACTATGTATTTAGATGATTTTGCTATTAATCGAAATCTTACTCATCTTTTTGACATTCTCGATTAATAACATATTAAAAACTTTAATAACAACGGGAAACTTAGTAATTGTTCTAAGGAAAGATGACACAAACAATTGATCATCCATTTTGTAATAAATAATTTGCATGACATAAACTCTTTAATCAAAATGCATAGAAATCCCCCGAAAATAATTAAAATTCTCAATGCATTTCATCTCATTTAAATAATTGACCGCAGTGTAATAATTTTCATTTAAGTGGAATCATTTATAAATTATGTCAATCAACATGTGAGACTTTAGACACCCTCACTTCTTTCATGCATCCGCATAACTATAGACCAACTTCCTACTACCAACTTGCAATTGAGACATCATTTACAAATAACCACAATGTACATATTCCATAATGTTGCTCCAACCTATAAGAAACACAAAGAATAAAATCAGATATTGATTTTTCGTGTTGCGGTATGCAGTCATCAATACGATTTCTTTATGGAGACTTAATTAGTATTTCTCACAGTGCTGTGATTTCCAAATAAGATCGATAAAATTTGGCATACATTTGGTTACGACAGAGTTTATTGTATTTACTCAGCTGATTTTTATAGTTTTTGGATCTTCATTCTTAATACGCATATTTTCGTCACAATTCCTTTATTAATAAATATCAATTTCATTCCATAGCCAGGTCATCGTGTTCCTCGTTACTCTACGATAAATTTCGGAGTTTGTGTACCGTCTTCATGCTCGAGTAATGATGTAGAGATTGCAATGAAGCATTATACAGAATCATTTACTGATGGCACGGGAGTCAAATTAGCAGTTCGTGTGGAATCTGAAATGTGCTATGTGAACGACTATGAATGGATGAGTAAACTTGACCTTGGCACTAAAATTGCTATGTAAGCTGCAATGTGAAATTTTATTTTTCTTTCTACTTTCAATTGGCAATGAAATATTTTTCTTTTAGTCTGTTCTGTGTGGTTTTGCTTCTGTTGACTGTCGTCTCTACTGTTTATGACTGTTGTGGATCGTCGGAGATAAAAAGTAAGTTAATGTGTTCAATGGTTCAAGAGCGTGTGGATATAATAAAAATATTTAAAATCTACATTTCAAGAATTGGTTTCTTATTCGTACTTGAATCAGAAATCAATTAATCTAATGGTTTCCTAAACAAATTCATCACATCAATTTCCTCCTCAATTAAATCACTTCCCATTTTCATTTTAGACCGAATAGCAGTTTCATTCTCAATCAAAAAGAACACAAAAGCTTTATTTGCACAGCGTGAGCAGAACGACATCAGAATCGCTCATTCAATAAGACTCTTTAATGCTGTCATGCTTCTCATATCACACAAGTGTATGGCACTTTTTTATCTGCCCTACTCAAACCGGACATGGATGACAGAAGTACTTGGTAAACCATGGAGTGTGTTGGCAAGAGCAGCTTCTTTATATACAGATCCGTTTCTAATGATTAGTGGAATGCTGACTGCTTATTCTTTATATGATAAGTTACAAAAAAATGGAAAAATAAATATTTGGAAGGAATATATTTCTCGTTATCTCCGGATCATGCCATCACTAGCATTCCTTATCATCGTATGTACATACATTTTGCCATTGACAGGAAATGGTCCATTATGGAACTTAGTAATATCACACAATTCTGTCTTGTGTAAAAAAAGTTGGTGGAAAAGCTTACTGTTCATTCACAATTGGTTTGGATTCGAAAAGATGTGCATGACACATACACATCATGTTGGAATTGATACTGAACTTTTTTGGACATCTCCGTTCTTGATAATTGCTTTATTCAGATGGCCTAAAAGAGCATTAAATGTTATTGTGATATTAGCTGTATTATCAACAATTGCTAGATATTATGTTACTTACACTTATGAGATATCAAATTATGTGTCGTTTGGAATTAGGTGAGTAAAAACTTGAAGATTGTTCAGGTGTGAACTTCAAAATGGCTTTCGAACCTCTGATATTTATCATGCAACATTCAGTTGTATTGTCTTAATTCAGTCGTTTTACATGGCAAACAAGTGACCAAAAACAGTTTCATTCATTTATTTACAAACTTTAACTTAAATTATTTTTCAATCACAAAACTTGCAAATTGAGGTGTCAATTTTGCCATATAACATTGCCATAAATGCCCAGTAGCTCGCAATAAAACTTTAAATCAATTTTGCACTTTATTTTTAATATTTAATGAACCGAATTTATGTCTCGAAAATAAAAATGAAAAAGCTACTTGTCGCAACTATTCGCACTTAACAAAAGATGACGATTCATAATTTACCGACTGTTTAAAAAACTAGTAAAAAGATCGCCAGTACTTTGGATCTGGGCGACTTCAGCGTATTTTCCTCTTACTGATCAGTAAACTTAGTTGTAACTCAAAATCGTTTGAGGGCCTTAATTTTTCGTACCAGATCTTTAATAGTTCGTTCCAGATTTTTATTTTAAAGATCTGGTAGCATTTAAAACATGTCCCGTATCAAAAACATAAATTCAGTAGCTCTACAGTCATAGTCAACCCCTAAAACAAAGATCCAGTAGCTTTACATTCACATCCATCATTAAAAATAAAGAACTAGTAACTCTAATGTCATATCCAACACCAAAAACTAGGATCCAGTAACTCAAAACTCATATCCAACACCATCAACAAAGATCCCATAACTTCAATGTCATGTTTAACACCAAAAACAAAGATCCAGTAACTCTAATGTCATATCCAACACCAATAACAAAGATACAGTAACTCTAGAGTCATATCCAATCCCAAAAACTAAGATCCAGTAACTCAAAACTCATTTCCAATCCCAAAAACTAAGATCCAGTAACTCTTAACTCATATTCAACACCATCAACAAAGATCCAGTAACTCTAATGTCATATCCAACACCTATAACTAAGATCCAGTAACTCAAAACTCATATCCAACACCATCAACAAAGATCCCGTAACTTCAATGTCATGTCTAACACCAAAAACAAAGATCCAGTAACTCTAATGTCATATCCAACACCAATAACAAAGATACAGTAACTCTAGAGTCATATCCAATCCCAAAAACTAAGATCCAGTAACTCAAAACTCATTTCCAATCCCAAAAACTAAGATCCAGTAACTTAAAACTCATATCCAACACCATTAACAAAGATCCAGTTACTCTAATGTCATATCCAACACCAAAAACAAAGATCCAGTAGCTCTTTAGTCATATCCAACACCAAAAACAAAGATCCAGTAACTCTAATGTCATATCCAACACCAATAACAAAGATACAGTAACTCTAAAGTCATATCCAATCCCAAAAACGAAGATCCAGAAACTCAAAAACTAAAATCCAGTTACGTTACATGAAGCAACGTTCAAAATTTTAACGGCTATTTTGAAATTTGAAATTGTTTTATCAAACTCGTATGTTATGCAAAAGTCGGCTAAGTCGTTGCAAAAAACATATAAAAGTTAATTTAATTAAGTTTTGGTAAGAAGTTATGAAACATAAAGCGGATTCGGTTTGCCTACAATATGGCAAGGATTGAATGCAAAAAATCCGAAGGCTCTATATGCTTTCATTGCTGAGATCTCACGGTACCAGCCAGCCAGCCAAAGTGAAGATAAAAGCGTATTGTTCCTTAGGAAAATACGCTAAAAAAACATTTCACACCATAAATTTTCTCATAAAATTTCTTATTCCTAATTATTATTCCGTTTTGTTTCATCTTGTCTCATTCCTAAAAGTGTTCAACAACTCTTCAAAATAGCTGATTTGATGTACATACTTCCGCCACATCGTTTCACTGTTTATGCAATGGGAATTATTCTCGGGTGCTTTTTAAGAAAATTCAAAGACATAAAATTGAGTAAGAGGCAAATAAAAATTGGATGGTGCGTGAGCACAGCGGCAATGTTGATATCATTTTTTGGACCAGCACCGATGGGCGATATTTCTTATAAATTCAATGCCACTCATGCTGCACACTATGCGGCTTTTGCACCAATTGGATGGTGTTTGTTTTTTGCATGGATGATTTTGACGTCTCATTTGGGATATAAAAGTTTGTTGAAAGATGCTTCCTATTTTTTGATTTTCGAATAATAAATGAATTTATTTTTAGATAAAATTATAAGAATGCTTGAGTGGAGAGGATTCTTGTTCTCAACGAGAATTTCGTATGCGTTGTATCTCGTACAATTTCCAGTGTTCTTCTACAATACTGGACAGGTTAAGACTCCTATCCAGTACACATTTCCTTTTAGTATTGTAAGTTGAATATTGATTTGTGATCAATTGGATAGGATTATCAAAAGATCTTGCATAAGTTGATAGTCCTCTTCATCTGTCAATTATTTTAAATGACAAAATCTTCTTTTTTGTTTTTTTAGCTGAACATGAATGAGATGCTGTCAATCATACTGATATCAATTCTTTATACAATTCTAATAGAACAGCCATTTAATAATATTAAAAATATAATGTTCAGCTCGAAAAAGATTCCACAAAAGACTAATAATAACAACGAGGAAAAAGACAAACTTAAAATGTCATAATATGAATTATTTCAGCTTTATAGAATTAAGTGTAAAGTATATGAAGTATTATTAAGTTATTTTAATAAAGGTGATAAATAAAAGATTGAAATTAGAAGTTAATGTATTTAACGATAATCATTATTAGTTTTAATTTAGCAGAAAGTTATACTTATCTATAGATTAGATGAATCATTGAGGTTTAAGGAGATAATCTTTCATTGGAGCAAAATTTCTCAAGTATGGCCAAGTATGTCTTAAGCCTTTAAATTTGTCATCTCTATCTTATCCTTTAGTGTACTTATTTTTATTTAAATCACACTTACTGAACCCGGATTCCGTAAAAAATTCTCCTTCTCCTCCTACAACTCTTTTCAGTTCAACTACTAAGTAATAACTATTCAATTGCATTTTAAACTACACCAGCTGATAGAATTAAATTTTGAAAAAAGAGTTTAATGAAATTCGACAGGTAGAAGAAAAGGAAACGCCAGAAATTGCATCTTCAAACAAAAATAAGTGGAATATTAATCTTTTTAAATTACGGATGGACTATTTTAATCCTCATAAAAACATGAATTTATAAAAAAAAAGTTTAACAATTAAAATTACGTTTTTTCACTTGAAAATTAAAATCAAGTTCACAAAATGATGCTTTTTATAAATATTCTTTAGTTGAAATTGAAACTAAATTGATTTAAGGACAAATCATCATCAATTTTTCCTTTGATTTCATCTTTTAAAGTACAACTCATCATGACAATCGCTTTACAACAGCCTTTACATATTCAATAATGTATTTGCCAACTATTTACACACTTTTTTTCTCGAATATTTCGCCTTTTCATTAAAGAAAATTTAATTAACTATTGATTTGTTTGTCAATTGTCGGCTTATTAGATTTTAGCAAACAGTTTGAAATTTATTCGTCTGATGTCTTTTGTGTTATTTGCTTACAAGTGTAAATCTAAGGTTGAAAACAACAGTCTCATCACATATGTCACTCCAACGGCCACTGACTATTTTAATTTGAAGATCATTTAACTGAGGAAATTGACGACATGAAGAAGAACATTCAGATGTTGTAAAGGAAATGGAATATTATTTATCATGACTGTTGCTAATGTTCATAATTGAATAATCTTATAATCTGCATATTATTTACTTCTGAGACTTTAAAAAGGTTAAAAACTAGTCATGAAAATTTATAATGCACTAACCTCTGGTAAGACTAGAAGAGTTGTTCAAAACTTTAAAGTTTATCATTTAAAATTCATATTTAAATTTGAGAAAATTTATTAAAATATTAAAGTACATTCCTCATATGATAGTAAAGCCAAAACAAACTAGACATTGAAGTACTCATGAAAAATTACCGAACCATTGATAAAATATGGCCAATCTACATTTCTTAAAAAGTCATTGTTACGTACGTTCGTGATATTCATTACGCATGTGTAACAGAATTGAATAATTTAGATAATTTTGTCAGCTGTTGCTTATAAGCTTATTTTTCACATGCCTTATATCAAAAATTTCACACACTTAATGACAATAATTAATAAAGTATCCTCAAAATAATTCAATAATCACTTAAGTGACTCGACTTAAGATTGTTTTTTTTTGTAAATTCATGATGTTTATAAATTAAGAGATCATCTTCTGTCTGGAACCTAATAAGAAACATTTAAAGCAATTAAATTAATCTTAAATTGAGTGTGAAAATGTTTTTTAATTTTTTTTTAAAGAATGGATGTTTAACAACCTGAAGGTCTAATTTAGTAATAGTTTTAAGTTACACTAGAACTGAAGAACTTTTCTACTAATTTTGACATTGATAGTTTTTGAAGATTTTTTATATATTTTAAGGGCCAAACACTCAACTGATCCTTCTTTGGCTTTAAACTTAACAATTATAATTGCTTATCATTGAACTTCACTATTTCATTAGTATTAATTGACTGAAGCATGAGAAAGAATTTGATACACTGAAGGAATAATCTTGTCTTGTGGATTTAAGTACCTTTATTAAAAAAACACACGTGGATGAATATATTAAAGTGATATTGTAGACAATTAACTCTCCAGAATAATTTTCACGGAACGTTGAAAGTAAAATGAAGACAAATGTAATAGATATGTAGTTGTGTGATAAAGATTAAGCTAGTTACAACGTTGTTCCATTAGGTTAGATAATTCTGAGTAATTTAGTATTTGAAGTCAAGCTTTTTTGTTAAGAAAGAGTGGTAAAAGTCTAATCTTCAGTCCTCCCTCTTTCCAAAATTCAACTCAAATGCAGAATTATATCCAAATTTTATTATTTTCATTCAATTACGAAACAATGCTTCCGTAAAAAGAAATTCCTCAAAAAAAAGTGAAATTTACACTGTTAAACATCTCAAGCAGCTGCTTCAAAAAAAAATCATAAGAATGACAGTGACCCACTCTTCAGACTCGTGTACATAATCTTCACAAACATTAGAAGATGCCCTAAAAAGCTGTTTAAATAAAGTCAAATGCTCATCAATCGATGATTATAGGAAAAAATGTGTATTTGAGTAGTGACCACCACATAAGTTATTGCGATAGTCATAATGTGATAATTAACAAAATAATGTCCACCAAATAAAACGAAAAAAAGAGAGAGAAGAAGAAGTGGAAAAAAATATAATAAAAATAAACATTATTTCCCTCAGTATTGTGTGATGTAATGTAAACGAAGATTCTATTTACATTTCAATATTGGCTCATAATCTTGTTTCTATCATTTTTGTCTTCGCTTTATTTGTACGAAATAGTGAGTTTGAAATGACGGTTTAACTGACTGTCAGTTTAATTTAAAATCAAAGGTTTTGAAAATTCAAAATTTAACAATTCTTGTTAATTCTTACGGCAAGTTTGAACAAGCTTAAAGCTTTGCATCTAAGAAATAAATCTGATTTTCCACACCCACACCAAATAATTTTTTCTTACTTCATTAAGTTCCTTCGAGAACCTTTCACAAACCCACTTAAAGTTGATCCATTCAACTTATTCTAAAATCACACATTTTTAATGATGCGCCACCTCTTCTCGTCCAACGATAATTTTTCCAAAAACTATTTTTACCATTTGATTGTATGTACGCGATCAGTCAGCCGCAGTCTTTGTAGGGATCTGTTGCTTGATTGTTTGTTGTAAAATCTACAAAAAAAAATTTCCTTGGCTCTTTTTTCTTCAAATCAGTTGAAATCTGTCGGTCGTGCAAGAAACAACTAAAATTATCCAGTGACTAGTGAAAATATATTTTTGTGACATTATTAATTTTTTTTTAAAAAAAACTACAAGTTAATGCAATCATGTCGCTGAGAAAAATCATAACAGCTTTAGTGCTGCTTCTTGTATACAATTGCAATTGTTATGTGCACGACGAGAGAGTCGTAAGCAGTGATAACTTGACACTTTTTGAGATTTTCGCAAAAAACTTAAATGTAGACAGAGATTTAATAGTGCCGTCTATAGACAATGCAGAAGCAGGTACTCATTGAGTGTACCAAAAAAAAAAATAGCAAATGCCAAAAATTTACATATTTCGAAATATTTTTTTTAAATTTATTTTTTTAGATTATATTAAATTGCTCGGTCCAAAAATCTTACAATACCAAAAGCCATTTTCATTAAAAAGTGATGCTGTTTCATCGCGTTGCCGTCAAGACTCATTGAAATTTCTATCATCACTAAAAAAATTTGATTTGTGGGCTCTTAAAAGTGAGATATATACACAAATAATGAAGATCAAATATTTAATTATTATTTTATTTTTCGTTCATTTTAATCTTTTCGTCCACAAGTGTATGATGCTAGTGCAAAATTTTCCAGTGGTGTGCTTAATGGGAATACAAATCGATATGGTGATTTTGATCAATGCTTAAGTGTCGTTGCGGAAAATGAGAATTTTCAAGGACAGTATTGCATGGCATATATTCAGCCGACTGTTAGTTCTGATTTTAAATATTTCAACTATTTGCGAACTCTTATGTTAGCTATGGAAGCTTATAAAAGTAATCTTGATGATGTGAGTATATTTGGTGTTAAATTTGTGATTCAAGTGTTAATTGTAAAGAATTTTCCGGGATTCAAAGTGAATTGTTTACAAAATGCAATAAAATTATAAATAGCAAATAGTGTAAGACAAACTACAATTTGTGTATAGCTACATCTAAAGAACTTAGATTTTTTTAAATAGCATTATGAGCTTATTTGAAGTTATTTAAAGGAGACTTTTTTATCAATTCTTAATTTTGTAGATTTTCTACATGACAGAACAATTTTTCGTGACTTGATCTCAGGTGATTTACCAAAAGTATTATGACACAACAAAATTTTCTACTTTTATTTCCAAAAAAAAATTTGGATTTTTGGTGTTTTTGTCGTTTTCAGAACGCTTTATTTTTTAAGTTCTAACGCAAACAACATGACTTTCTTAAATATTGTGACAAGAACTTCACTGCTGATTCACCAGTTCTGAAAAGGTTCTTCAGTTTTAAAATTATCATCTTTATAATCTTCATAATTGCGCGAAAATTGCTAAATTTATGCATATATATTTTTTGAGCAGCTATTAGGTCATAACTTGACAATTCTACAAATATTGAAGGTGTAAAGCTGGTCAAAATATTCAATAAATTTGAAAGGCACCTTTAGTTTAACGAATGATAACATGTTGTTATCTTGTGTATTTGATAAGCTGTGTTACTTAGGGGCCATTCACTTATTACGTAACGCTTTTAGTGGGAGGGGGGGTCTAAGATTTTGTTACGATTCAAACAAGGAAATTTTTTTTTCATACAAATTTTGTTACGAGGGGGGGGGGGTGTAAGAAGTCATTTTTTCGCGTTACGTAATAAGTGAACAGCCCCTTAATGCATTTCTTGTAAAATAGTTGACCTTAACAACGAATTTTTCGTTTATTTAATAAAAATTGTTGACTTACATTTTTCGCGAAAAAAAAGTGATCAAAAATGTCATAAAATGAGTTACAAAACCATTAAACTGAAAGTTCATCTTTTAAATCTGACTTTTGTTCATTCACAAATGATGTCTCTACAAGATCATTCCAAATTTTAATTTCATAAGAATGGAATTTTTAAAAAGTTTTCGTAACTTATTATGTGTATGACGTGATTTAATATGCACTAAATTGGCAAAAACTTCAAATTTGACCTCAAAACATTCAACAAAGAGTACTTACTAATTAATAGGCTGTAAAACCAAGCAATTTCTACCAACGCTGTTTATAACTTCATTTTATTACTAAGTAAATTATAAAATATTTCTAAGTGCGTCAAAACATTTGAATCTGCATCTTATAATTCAAAAGCATCTAAAACTATTAAACAAATAATGCAAATTAATTATTCAAACTTTTGTTTTCCTATTCAGCATCGACATGTGATTCCAAGAACGTCACAAGTAAGTTTTTTTCCTCAACATTTACACCAATATTTACTCAATTAAATAATTTTCTATTGCAGCTCAACTTTGGCTTCTGCATACCATCCACGTGCACTAACAAAGAATTAGAAGTTGTGTTGAAGGAAAACTTACAAAACTTTTTCAACAGCAGTAAAGTGTTAATGGATGTTCGAGTTGAAAAGGAAATGTGTCAAATCAAAGAAAATAAGCCTTACAGTCTTGGAACAAAGCTTTCATTGTAAGTTTATGGTGACTTTTATTATTATTGAATATTGACACATGATTCGAATCCGCTGTTTACTTTATTTTGCACTTGCGATTCTCAACATACATGAATACTCGCAATTTGATAGTATTTTAAAAACATTTATTCTTTAGATGTTGAGGTTATTGACTTTTCAACAAATTTATTTTCTGAATGAGTGCTAAAATATCAATAAATTTGCAAATAATCATCCAGTAATTGGCTTTCAATGAATGGAAATAACATCCAAATGATATAAATTCATTGAAATTTGGTTCGATAAGTCCAAAAAATACTTGATAATTTCACGATTATCTGCGATTATCGATGAATGTTTGCAAACTCTACATAATCACATGTCTAACAACGTATTCGGCATTTTCTGTCATCTCACTTAAATGCTAATATTTGATCAAATAATCGGCAAAAGCTCAAACATTATAATCGCCGCTTTATTCATGATTTGGAAGCAAAACTTGTTAACAATGGGTTTCTGCCAGGCACACTTTTTTTTAAAGTTTGTAAATTGACTACTTTAAAGGATCTAAAGAATATTATGAGTGACTAAAAAATTTTAGACCTGAGCTGCTAATAGAAATGATTCTTGCAAAAATTCATTAAACTTGTTGAAATCTTCTGGACGCGAACTAATTTCCTTAAATAAACTTTGTGTTTATCATTTATTCAACGATAATATTTGCCAGTCACAAGTCAGTCATCGTATTAAAGAAATTATTAACACATCTTATTCACACAAAAAAGAAACAAGCGGCAATCAAAATGGTTTTGATTATTATTGACCTAACACTTCAAATATGACATTGTCTTTTAAAATTCATTTTTCCTCGTGTAACATGTAAATTATTCTGCGTATTTACAGAAGGCTTGTACTTCTTTAATAAGCAATGACCCAAGCAGAAAACCCCAGAATTTAATGTCAAAAAAGATTAATCTAAGGATTAATGTCCACTAATAGAATTCTTCGGATAATTTTAATTTTTGGTCTACGCATCAAAAGAAATGTCGAATCTACGATTAAGCAAACAAAAATATTACACGTGCGACATTGAAAAGTTTGATCTATATAATAATCTATTACTTAATATAAAAGAATTCTGAAAACAATTAGCACTTCTGATTGGATTATCTGCCTTGCTCCATTAACAACGGAGTTTTTTTTCTTCACGAGCGCCAGATTCTCTTCATAATCTTAAATTAATAAGTTCGTGAAAATTTAATTTGTTCATTGTTGATTCTTATAAGCTAGATCTTAAATGCTTCATTCACAAGTTTTTTTTAAATTCTTTTCTCAGGCTGTTATTTGGTTCCATCATAGCTGTTTCAATTTTTGCAGCATATTACGATCGATCAGATTCACCCAATAAAAGTATGTATTTCCATTTTAGATAGTTTCTTGCAGCATCAAGCTACAAATGATAATATTTCTCATCTAAAACTGTGTGGCATAGCAAGAATTAAATTTAGTTCCGCTTAAGTTGCAAATCAATTTTAATTTATCTGTATTTCCCAGGCGAATGGCTGACATCATTTTCACTAACCAAAAACTGGAAAGAACTTATTTCCACAAAAGCATCAAATGACATAGCATGTGCTCATGGTATCCGCTTCTTCAACACTTTAATGCTAATTGTCTCACACAAATGTATGGAAATAGAATTCAATCCTATACCAAATAGGAGTGAACTAATCGAAATTTCCAAAGGACCAATGTCAGTCATAGTCAGAGCAAGTTACTTATTCACAGATTCATTTATTATGTTATCAGCGATGCTTGTGTCATATTCATTCGTTGGAAGACTAAGACGCGGACAAAGCATTGATGGAATTAAAGAAATAGCTGCAAGATATTTCCGAGTTGTTCCTCCGATGACAGCATTGATTATTTTTGGAACATTTATCTTCCCAATTATCGGTTCTGGTCCACAATGGCCAATGCTTGTTGATAATCAGTCAGAACTTTGTAAGAAAACTTGGTGGAGGAATTTCTTCATGATTCACAATTGGTTTGGATTCGAGAACATTTGCATGACTCACACGCATCATGTTGGAACTGACTTTGAGTTGTTCTTAACAGCGCCGATCCTCGTTACTTTATTGTATAAATATCCAAAGAAGACAGGCATTGGAATGTTTATTCTTGCTGTTTTATCCACAATTATAAGATTCTACACAACTTATGTTAAGGATTTGACAGTTTATGTGCTTTTCGGACTCGAGTAAGTTGGAATATCTTTAAAAATTATCAATACTAGTTCAAATCTTATTTGCAGAGTATCAAAGCTTTACGACATCGCAAGCTACATGTACATCATCCCAGTTTATCGCTTTACAGTTTATGCCATGGGAATTGTACTTGGATATTTACTACGAAAGTATTCAGACATAAAATTAGACGAATCTCAATTATTCTTCGGCTGGGTGTTTACATCATCACTATTTATTGGAACGATGGCTTTAATATCATTTATGAGTGCTTACGATTATACTTTTAGTGCTTTTGATGGTGCACTCTACAGCTCTCTTGCACCGATCCCTTGGTGTCTGTTCTTTGGATGGCTGATATTTACATCACATTTAGGATATAAAAGTAAGGATTTTAATAATAATCGTATTAAATGAATTAATTTCTTATAAATTTCTCACAGATGCCTTCACAAGATTCTTTGAATGGCGAGGATTTTTGGTCTCAACTAAGTTGTCTTATGGAATTTATTTAGTCCAATTCGCAGTCTTTCATTACAACATCTCAACTGTAAGAAACTCAAAACATTTTGGTATGGTTAAGTCTTTGGTAAGTTGTGGTCATTGTGATTACTTTTGCTAAAATTATCTTGATTTGGATTGCATTTATTTGCATCAAGATGTCAAAGGACATGATCATGAACTGTTGGCAAACCTTAATCTTTTTTGATAACATAATGAGTTCTAATGTTAGATGTTTTGTTGATTGTTCATGCAACAATAATGAAGACATTGAAGAAATTTCCATTTTTGCAACATTCAAGTCAAAAGCTAATGAATGTTTAGTTGCTCGAAGACAATCCAACATTAAAGCCATTGCTTACTTTTTACAGCTCAATGGAAATGAAATTCTCTGGATAATATTCGCAGCAGCTTTGATGACACTCTTCTTCGACTTGCCATTCGGAAATTTAAAGAAGCTTGTTTTCGATTCTAAGAAGCCTCAGATACAACAAGTGAAGCAACAAGATAAAGTTATTGAGACAGTGAAAAACGGAGGTCTTGTAGATATGAATGCAAATATAATAAGTGATTATAAAAAGTCCGAGTAAACAAAGTTTTAGAGCGTGAAGATCTTACAAATTTTTCAAATTTTTTTATGTAAATTTCTCTTATTAAATAAATAAATTTATTCATTATTTTACCAAAATAATTTCTAAAACTTTTAATTTTACACTTGGCTAAAGTTTTTGTCTAATTTCATAAAATTTGATGTTTTTTAAAATATCTTTGAGAGACTTTTCCGAATTTCCATTAATTTACCAAAAAGAAGCTTTCAACGAGTTTTTAAAATTTAAACTAAAAATGTAACGACGTGAAGTTGGCACCGTTAAGCTTTTCTGAAAGCTTTTATCTTTAAAGCTAATGATAAATTTGGAGTTTATTATTTGACATTAGTTTATGATATCTCGCATTCGATGTACTGCAATATAGGTTGTAAAGAAAATAAATCTAGGAAAAAGGTAGTTTCGAAAAACCAGCTCCAGAAAAATAAAACTCACAATAAAATATTAAATCTTGTCAACGGCACACCAGAAATCAATGAAATTACCTTTGTATCAATTAGTGACTCTGAAATTGCTTTTGATTCCAGGAATAATTTTTCAAGTTCTTCTCATAGCAAAATATTGGTGTAGGCTTAACTTCATAAACAGCTATCATTATTATATTTATTATGTTCCGTATTTAAATTGAAGGACCTTTACTTTTCCATGCATTTATCTTTTTAAAAGGAAAAGCCGTCTGAAAAAGTACTTAAACTATTTTAATCTGCATAAAAACCTTTAAGATAAATTTTTCAATATTTTCATAAATTTTACAATTATTTCTTTTCAGTTGTAACCAGTGTTGCAAATGCAGATGTCTACACTAGATGAAGAATGTAGATTCTTCAATAGTTTTTGTCTGAGACAGAAATTTCTTCATAAAGATCGATTCTATATGAAGATAGAAAATCTAATCTACACAAAGATTCCAGGTCTACATCAGAGAAGAATGTAGAATTGTAGACATCTACATCGAATCTTTATGTAGAAATAATCTTTGTGTAGATTAGATTTTCTATCTTCATATAGAATCGATCTTTATGAAGAAATTTCTGTCTCAGAATTTATCTGATCCAGACAAATGGCCAGAATGCAACACTGGTTGTAACATAGCTAGTGTGGATTAAATCTTTTCGTATATGTCTAATTCTTTTAAATAATTCACGACTGAGATTAGCTTTTCTCTATTATCATTTTTAAGAGTGTCAAAGTCGATTTTGTATTTGTCTTGTTGTTGTTTGTCAAGGCTGCAGCTGAGGATGTGCTTCAACGTTAGTGGTTCCGCACATCTGCAGGTCGGAGTGCTCGTACGTTCAATTAAATGTCCATGAGTCAGTCTTGTATGTCTTATCCTTAGTCTTGTTATTACAGTTTGGTCTTTTCTGTTAAGAAAGTCTATAGTCTAAACATCTATCATGCAACAAAGTATCCCTTGACTTAATTAAATGTCTAATATTCTTAGAAAATCTGTTGAATCTAAAACAGTTAAGAACCTTACGATAAATTACATACTTCCGAACTGATTTCCAAGAACCAATGTAATTTCTACTTCCCACTTATTCTGAAACACGTTGAGCCACAAAATTTTTGCAAACAATTTACGTACATATATGCAGAGATGTGGATAGACCCTAACATAATAATCCATCAAATTAATATAATAATTATCAATAGCTTTAACATTTCCTTCATCCAATTTCCACCTGCATACATTCACATCCTCAACGAAGTAAATTAATCAAGAAGATGAGAAAACTTTTTCTGTTGAGTGGGTTGCTTTGATGTGTAACGAAAAGAATTCAGGGAAAAAGTAGGTGTCAGATACAAAAATAAAAATCTCAGCTGGAAATCTCTTTTCTTTTTTAATTTGAAAAATATCTTCATTATTTTTGATTCTAATTTGATGTTAATTAACTGTTTAAGTGCTTTTCTAATTTAACCATTTCTTCTTAAAAATATCTCGAAAATTGACATTTAGTGCTCATATAAAATGCCATAAATTCTTCCTTAAAAATTCATGAGCGACGTAAATTTATTCTCATTCAGCAGTAAAATTTTCAATGAGGAGCTTCTTAGTTCTATTTTTAGACACACCCAATGGCATAAAATGTAAATTATGAATAATAAAATTTTCTAAGGTTGATTAATTGGGGTAAATTTTTTGAGATTCTCACAATTATTTCATACTGATTTTCGGAATCACAAAACCACAAATTGAATCATAAATTTGAATGTGAATGAACCACAAAAACACTTTCATTAAATAATTAAGGACATTGTAAGGAACAACTTTGGTATGTTGTGAATTATGTTTATGGAAGTGACCTTAAATGAGTTGCTTGTGAATAATTAAGTTAAGATTGTTGCTTTTACAGTCTATAGTACACAAATGAAGTTGTTGTGTTTGAGTCAAATTCAGATCTATAATTTATCAACTTTGGTGTGCATTTAAAAACTTTTGAAAGAAACACAATTTTAAAGAATCATAAATCAAACTCACCATAAATTAGGGAAGCTTTAAAAATATTCTGCCTAAAGAAACACAAACTTTTTGACTTAATTTAAAATTACCTGAATTCTTAAATGTTCTTGTTCTGTTTTCTTTGAAAAAATTTCCCAAAGGCTTCTTTGTTATCAGAAAATTTCTTTATTGCTAGAAAAATTGAATTTTCAAAATCTTTGAATGTTTTTAAGAATGTCAAATATCGACAATCAAGCAAAATATGTATGGTCATTAAATCCACATTTCGTGTAATCAACAATTACATATGTTGACATTTGTCTGCATAAAGAACCAAAATAGAAGAAAAAATTCATTCAATTGACAACATTTTTATTCAAATATAGAATTCTAAAGTAAAGCCAACACACATACTGTTCATATGGAATAATTTTATGCATAGAGATAACCAAAGAATGATTTGATCATGTTTACATCAAAATTTCATAATAACTCCTACACTGAAACTTCAAATCATATTTATGGTAGTTTGAATCTGTTGGGATATTGAATAAAGCTTCAATAAAGGAGTAATAAAAAAAAAGTTTTTGAAAGTCATTAGCAAAAGTTCCCAAACCAAAAATGACACAAAATCAAATTTGTAGAAATTTACAGCAACTTTTAGCACTACCGATTCGCCAACTTTACTTCAGTCACGAAAAAAAAAACCCACAAAAGTCAATTTCATTTATTAAGTCACAGCCAACGAAAGCAAAAACTAGTCATGTTGATTTATTTAAGTGGAAAAATTAAGAAATTGGATTTTATATCAGTCGCATTAATTCTGTCCGCATTATTCGTGAGTCTTACATTAATTAGAAGTTATTTCGATACACAAATATCAACATTAAAAACGGAAGTTCTGCTATACAGCGATGCTTACGGTTCTTTAAGAAAGAAAATTGCAAAGCCACGTTATCCATTTGCCACACAGTATGACAAGCTCGATTATCATGATTATGAATTTATGGAATATGAAGCATCAAGAATAGGTCCTGGTGAGCAAGGCAAAGCATATGTTCTAAAAGATGAGGCTTATATTGAGAAGAATAAGGAGATTTTTCAAAAATTTGGATTTTATGGAATTGCCAGTGATCATATTTCAGTGAATCGTTCATTACCAGATATACGGCATGAAAAGTGAGTATAAATAGCAGGATGATGATTGATTAAAAATCTGATTAATCAGATAAAGGATATCTCTAATTAGCTAATAATCTTAAAATGTAATCGTCACATTCCATTTCCTGTTATAGATGTAAACGCAAACAGTACTTGAGACAAATTCCAAAAGTGTCAATAATAATCGTGTACTTTGACGAGTACTTGAGCATGATGAAGCGAACACTGCATTCAATTTTCAATCGCACGCCGCATAAGCTGATTCATGAAATAATATTAGTGAACGATAACAGCACACTGGATGAACTTTATCAACCGCTCGTTGATTATGTCACAACGAACTTTGGTGAAATCGTAAAATTTAGAATGTCAAATGAACGTCGTGGTATGATTGGATCGAGGTTGGATGGAGCACGATTTGCAACCGGTGAAGTTCTGGTAGGTTAAAAATGTTGTTTACTTCTACATGATGTGAACTTTAAATGTTTGTGATATTTATAGCTGTGTCATAAAATTACTTGACTTATTTATTTTCGTTTAAATCCTCGAAGGTATTTATTGATGCTCAAGTGGAAGTAAATGTCAATTGGTTACCTCCTCTACTCGAGCCAATTGCTCTTAATCCAAAAGTAATTACTACACCAATCATTGATTCATTCCGTTTCGATACATTCGAGTATAGAAAGCTTGATGATGGAGGACGTGGCATTTTCAATTGGGATCTACAATATCGACGATTTCCACGAAGGCCGGAGGATATTCGTCCCGACGCTCCGATTCCATCTCCTGTTATGGTATTGAATAACTTAAAATCTTCTTTTTTTTAATTTTTTATTAACAACTTGTCACGTCTTTTTACAGATTGGATCAGTTTTCGCAATAAATCGACAATTTTTCTGGGATGTTGGAGCATACGACAAGCAATTAAAGGTATCGCACGGCGAACAATTGGAAATGTCATTTAAGGCACACTTGTGTGCTCATGGAGTCTTTGAATGTCCTTGTTCCCGTGTCGCACATTCATATCGTTATAAAAATTATTACAAAAGATTCGAAAATGGCACAGATTTTGCAGCACGTAATATGAAAAGAATAGCAGAAGTATGGATGGTGAGTATGGGTGTGGGTGGAATAGAATTGACCAAAAAAGATTAGAGTCGAAATGTAGATGAATATTGTGAAAGCGAATTTTTGTAGAACCTTATTAGTGAACGTATTTTTAATAGGTTTGGAATCGTATTAGTTTTTTGGTGACTTGATCATGTCTAGGTGTCTTTAGAGTCTCTTTAGCCATAAAACTATGCAACACTAAGTATCTTAGTCAAAATAACCTGCAAAGCTGCACACAGTCTTCAAAATCTAGCTAAAACAAAACGCATATTGAATAAGCAGCATGTTCTTATTCTTTTCGTTTTCTTTCTTTCCAATTATCATGCCCCCAAATCTCATTTTCAGGACGAATACAAAGAAGTTGTTTACAAACGAAATCCATCAAAATACATGTCTCTCGATCCCGGCAATCTTTCACGAGAAAATATCATCAAACAAGGCCTTCATTGTAAGCCTTTTAGATATTTTGTTGAGTATGTAGCACCCGAGCTCCTTGAGCGTTATCCAATCATTGACCCAGGATATTTTGCAAAAGGCACCATAAGAAGTAAAGCCAATCCGAAATTATGTGTGGAGGTGTCAAAGAATAATATTGAAGATACTGTAGATGTGCCAATAACAAGAAAACTTATCCTAAATAAATGTGATGACAGTCATGTCAACCCAAGTTTTAAGCAATTTTTTACGCTCACATGGCATCGACACATTCAACATTCAATCTACGATTATTGCATTCAAAATTCACTTACAGTTGTCGAGTGTCATTTTCTTGGAGGAAATCAACTGTGGAAATTTGATTTGGTTAGACCCAAGGAAGTTATATTTGGAATTAGATTTTAATTAAGTTCATCTATTTTTAGGAAACACATCAAATTGTAAATCCCATTTCGGATGCCATAAAATGTCTAAGTATAGACATTACCAAACAAACCCTATTAATGGAAGATTGTGTTGAGAATGATATCAACCAACAGTGGAATTGGGGTGAGAAAAATTTGACGGCACTACACAGCTGGGAAAATTTTGGCGTTGATCTGACGTCATTAAAAATTTAAATAAGAAGCATCGTCAATTGACGTGAAAGAGTTTTTAAAATGAAAATTAATTAAGGCAGAAAAGAAGGAGAGTAAGTAATGGTTTTCTGAATATGTTTTGAATAATTAACGATTTATGGACTTCCAAGAATGTACTTAGGCGGTTTTGTAATGAAAATAATCTAATTTTGTAATGTTTAATAAAGTTTGAATCTCGTAATTAAAAGATTTGTTTCGTTTATATTCCTAGAAATGTTTTAAATACTTTACTAAATTTCCTTACTTTGTTTTCATTACAAAAATAGTTCTACGAAAGAAATCAAAGAAATAATTGATTCATTCATTCATCCATTTCTCATAAATAGCCTCAAAACTATTCTTAAATTCAAATTCAATGCGAGTACATGATCTTCACATCCTGTTGTCTTCAAATATTCAGTTTGGTCACCTTTTAAGGTTGCGAAAATATTAATTTGCCAAATCAATTCGATAATTTCTTTTGTGCTCCAGGAGACTGAATTATGAATGGAACGATCTCCATCTTTATTGCGATAATTTATGAAATCCAACGATTTCTTAAGAATTAAAATATTTCCGAAAATTATTCAATAGACTCATTTGTACTTCAGAAAGGATTCTTCTTCGAGGAGTACCTTTTTACTGCGAGTTCAGTGAATTTAAATTAAATTGTGATACCTTGAATTTTTGCAATGTTTCAAGACTACAAAAAACACCAATGTGTGCTTATTAATATTAAAATTCTTCATTCCTGATCATTATCAAATAAATATTTATATCCGACCGAAAATCAAGAACCATCTTTAATTAATATTCATTGCTTCTAATTACGCAAAACAATCATTGAATAAGCATATTTATATTCAATCTCAACCAGGATCTCAACTGAAATTGTTGTTCTCATCTTCTTGTCTGAAATTAAAACGTGAATTAGTTCCCAGTAGCTTCTAAGACACTTAACTCAAATGGCGTAGTGAGAAGGATACAAGTAGTTTTGCCACTTCAGAATCCAACAATCTAAGGCTCGTACATACAACTTTGAAAGCATTATCAAGTCATTTGATAATTTGAGTTCTTGTGGATGTTATCCAATCGATAGTTACCGGAAGCCGGCAATAAATTGGAAAAAAGGGAAAAGCAAAACTTTGAAATTAATTAAAAGCACAAAACAAAACTTTTTTGTCATTATCCAATCATATTAATTTTCATACATTTATTTTTCATCTACTTGTATGTATGTTTTTGATGTCATTTTTTTCTTTTTTTCATTTCTTTATGAGAATATCAATCTTTTAGTTATTACATTATTCATAATATAATGTATTTACATAAATATATAAATCATGTGTAGTTTATTATGAGATATATCTTCATATGAAGTTCATCATTCTCTTATTATTATGAAGTATTTAATAATCAGTCAACTACTAAATTGTGCTACAAAATTGCCTACTAAATTTTTTATCATAATATCAGTATATATATTCAGTTTTAGCTCTTTCACGTTTATAACATGGAGTAAACATATTTACAAATTTTTTTTTCTTCTTATTATGCACGTTGCTTTACTTGTCTTGTCTCGTCACATTTTTTTTTGTATAAGAAAAATAAAAGAAAAAAAAAATTTTTTTTGGGTATATAGTAAATAGATAGGTAGGTATATATAGAGAGAGACAATGGATATACGATAGATTGTGTTAAGGAATCAATGTAATTGTTCCTTTTATGGATTAATGTTGTGATATTTATCCATTTCGACCAGTGTATTATAAAGGAGATTCGTATTCATTGATGATATCATTAGATAGCCTACAATAGCACCACAACTTCGGGCAATTGATAATGTATTCCACAAATAGACCGTCTCTTCGTTTGCAGCCTGAGGATATAAAAAATATAAAGTCTATCAAGAAAATTTTGAAGTTCGACGGCTTGCAGTAATGTAGGAAGGAGTTGAAATCTTTTAAAAATCTTTCCTACGCAACTGCTCGGTCGTTTGAAATTGACATTTGGGTTCATAAAATTTGAATCAAAAATAAACTTACCGTATTTTCCTTCTCCAGTGATTCCATTAATGTTATAGTCGTTGAATTATCCTGTGACTGATATTTCTTGGCTGGAAAACGGTCATCAATCGATGCTGCTAATAAATTCAATATGATCGTTCCTGCATAAATCATGATCAATATAATTGAACGAAATGAAATCGAGCGTTCTTTATTTTCCGACGTATTCAACAACGATGTCATACTAAATTGACAAATGTCGATCCTGAAAATGAAAGAATTTTTTTATAGACTGAAAATGCCAACAGATATTAAATTGTTTGTTTTTCTTATTGTAAGTTTTCAAAGACTGTTCCATCGTTCAATGACAATGACAATCTTCATCCCACACCCACACAGTTTATATAACTGATAAAAAAAATTAAAGGGAGTGAATCGAGATGGAAATGAAGAACTGGTGAAGATTGTCGAATGAAATTGATGAATTTAAAGAGCATGTATGAAAAGAATGTATCAAGAAATCATTATGACGTCAGTAGTCAGTTTCCAAGAAGAGTTAAAGGGATTTAAGTTTATAAAGTTTTATTGTGGTTTTTCTTTCAATTTTAAATGTGTTTCTTAAAGGAAAACTATGTGAATCTATCCCAGATCTTGTCAGTCCACAAGCAGACAAATATTTTGCCTAGCTACAGCCATATTAACAAACTCGACTCATGCAGAATATTAAGTAACAAACCCAAGACCTTAGTTTCTCAATCAAACTTACCGATCCATTATTGATACGAAGCATATGACCGCCAGAAAGAAGAAGACATTGGTATAAATTTTGGTGTGCATCTCATAGTGTTCGAACGACTTCTCAGATCCCGTCCAGTCTTGTGGCGTTGTTGTGAGAATGAGTATTAAATGTGCAAGAGCTGCGAGAATAAAAAGGTAAAATTAATATAAATGACAAATTAGTAACTCATCATCAAAATAAATATCAATTGCTTATTAATGTGATGATCCTTAAAAAATAAATTAAGTAGGAACATTGAATTGAAATACAATTTTGTGTATTTATTTAATGGTGAAGTCGAGAAAAGGCAAGGAAATGAGAATAAAAATAATGGAAATGGCACCGAAAAAAAAATTGCCTTGTGGCACTTATAAGCCTCTTTCATTTTAATTCTATTCATTGAGCCTTTTTTCATATTTGAACAGCAATTCGTGCGTATTTGACATTTGTCATCGTATTATACAATCAATATAAAAATAAATACAAAAGACAGATTATTTCTTTCATCGAAGCAGTTCCTTTTAAAGTGCCTTTTCTATTTTTAAACAGTTTGGGTGAAATTTAGTCGTCCACACATTTTAGAAGCTCGTTAAAAACATTCCGAATAAATAACGAGATGAATAAATATTGAAACAACATCAAAATTACGAGTCGGAACGCGCTGAAATGACTATTTTTGATTTCATTCCGGGAAAAATTTATTCATCATGAATTTTTCAAAAAGTGTATAAAGACGAGGCTTCATGTCTTTACTGCATACTCTTCAATGAGCAATTAAACAACAAGAAAAAAAATCATCAGACATTGTTGAATGCTTCGATGGTTGAGCCGGAATAAGAATTTTTTTCTACACATAATACTTCTCGGAAGTCATGAAAGTGGATGTAAAAATAGACTTTAACAAATTCATCTTGGGTGGTGCTGTATTTAGAATCTTGAATGTGTTTATCGAGAAATTTATTGATGTGGAGATTGTAATAGCATCTCATGGGTTCTTAATTTGATTCGAGAAGAGGATTTCATTTCCTTTGGCTATATAGAAGAGATGAGAGAATTTCAGCATATTTTTGGATTATAGGAAGTGTTATCTATTGGGATTTTGCTTGAAGGTATTGAGTAAATTAATAATTTGAGTTTGTATGCTACAAAGCTGCTTAGCAACCACTGATAGGGAATTCGTAAGAGTGTAAGACCGGAAATCCATAAAAAAATAGGAGTTCAATTCCTATTAAGGACAAAATTAAATTTCCTCAAGTACTAATACACAGAAATGCGTTACATTTACTTAAAAAGTCCCTCAAACTTAATATCACATTTTACCGTTCCTTTTATTATTCTCACCCCATCAATTAAGGTATGAAAAAATGATAAGCATAATAAAAAAGAAGCATAGTGAAAAGGAAAATGTCAACAGCAACAAAGTCACGAAAAATGATGATGATTAGATTCGATAATGAAATAATCTTTAACTTACCTAATCCTCCCAGTAAGCCATGACAAATGGTTGATATGTTGATCCACATTTTCTGAACGAGACATGATAGTTGAACGGCGTTGTTTATAAAAAAACTGAAAAAAAGAGTGAAAGAATTGATTAAAGGAAAGTCATGTTGATAACAAAATCAAGGGACATTTTTTTTCCGTCTGATGTAATAGCTTGCTTGAGGTTGTATTTTCTAAAATTTTTTAGCACATACGTAAGCAGCACATAAGGGGCCGTTCACTTATTACGTTACGTTCACAAACAACCCCCCTCCCCCCCTTGTTAAAATATGTTACAACTCACAACCCCCCCCCCCCCCCCCTGAACGTTCATAATTTATTTTATCATTAAAAAGGTGAAAAATTTAAAAAAAATGTTTTTGGTATGAATTTTTAAACAAATTTTTTTCGTGAACTTTTTTTAAGACAGACGTTACATACTTCTTGACCCCCCCTCCCCCTATGTTACATTTTGTTACAATTTTTCAAACCCCCCCTCCCCCCTAAAACGCGAACGTAATAAGTGAACGGTCCCTAAAAGAAAATACGAAATTCATTTTATGGAAATGGCGAAAAGCAAAAAGAAGACGAAGGCTTTTGCACGCAAAACTATTTTTCTTTGTGCGTGCCAAAGAATGAAAAAACTAATAGAATCAAGAAGAAAACTTACTTATTGCTATCGGTATCGCCAGCAGCAGCTGATGTTTTATAGAAACTACTATTATTGTCAACAGCACGATAACCACTGGATGTCTGTACGAAAATTTTATCAACATGAGGATTTTGTTCAGTCGTTGGTGAGACAACCGGTGTAAATGGATTGTAAATGTCAGAATTTTGAATTATGTCATCATTTAGCTCATTCAATATTGTCGTTAAGTCGCTTGGTGCCGCTTTACCTATTTCAATGTTTTATTGGATAAAAGATAATGAGATTTATGAGCATGAATTCGCGATAATTAATCCCCAACTCACCAATCAATCTAAATGACTTTCGTTCACGTTGAGATTTAGTCTTTCGATGAACTTTCCTGTCGTCAAGATTCTCATTTATTTCAAGATCACCTGATAATGAGCCGGATGCATCATTTAAATCTGAACACTGCTTTAAATATCTCATTAATGTCTCGTTTGCTTGACGTACTTCTAATTCACCAGCCTTTCTTTCACGACGCCGTCTCGACTCTGATTTACTTCGCTTATGTTTTGGACTTTTATCACTACTGGCACGACTACGATTGCTTCTTTGTGCTGGACTTCGTGGTGGCTCTAATGTATTACCATTACCGTTACCGGTCGTTGTTGATGATTTTAATGTTCGATCCATAAATCCAAGAATACCACGATGCATTTTTGTATCACCCTTTGTCTCGTCCTCAATTGTTATTGAAGGATTCTCGTTAGGCACGACATTATTATTGTTTGACGCCTCTCCATTTATATCCGTCACACCATCCTCAATTTTCCTTGACGAGTCCTTCTTTCGATGTTCACGGTTACGCGACGATGTCCTTTTATGTTTACTCTTTGAATGTACTTTGGGTGTTTCTTCCATTGCAAGTAAATTTTTTTCACTTCTTTTCTTATTTTATCTTTTTTTTTATTTCTTGACGTATTCACTTTACTTCTTGTTCTTATTTTTTTTTAAGAATTTATTACAAAATCATTTTTTTTATGTAATGTCCTTAATTCTAATTCTGGCGTTTATAGCACACGAAAAGAAAAAGAACTAAGAATTTCCCTTCAACTTCGCACTTCAAAATAAAAACAGCAACTGTGTCTCTATCCGTGTATGTGTATCTCCTGCTGTATGGACGTAGCAAAGAATGGCAAGATTTTTTTTTACACAGACAAACGTATTGAGTAAAAAAACGATGACGTCAATCGAGAAAGGAGTGAGAGTAGCAGCAGAAAAAAAAAATTATTACGGCGCAACAAACAATTTCATATTCTATACATGTCTCTATGTTGTGTGTGCAACGCAACGTCAGCTTTTGAAATTGGATCAATAATTATTTTTGTGTTTGGTTTCGTAAGTATTTACGAACTCCCTCAACTTTTTTTTTGTATATGTAATGACTTAAATTTTAGTCCTTGCCTGTGTCGTTTACGCCACACTAACGAAATAATAATATTATTCCTTATAGGTAACGCTTGATGGCCAAAACAAAAGCAACCGAAAAAAACAATTTTTCTTTTCTATTAATAGACACAGGAATTTTTTTTCCGCACGGATTTATTGCAAAAAGTATTCTTTGTCGGTGTATAATTTATATCCACAATAATATTCTTTTACATTGTACTTAGAACTCCCACACACAAAATATTTTATATCAAGTAGATGATAAAAAATAATAACAATAATATAGGAGGAAATAATAAGAAGTTCCAAATTTGATAAAACCTTTTTTATTGCAATTTTCTATGACACGTCTGATTACTTCCAAAGCTCACGACAATCTAATATTAGTACTGTCAGCGAGAAAAATCGGAAATGGCAAAATAAAGATTCTTGTGCCCGAGGACGACGATGGCAAGAGAGAAAGCTTTTCGGAGATGTGAGAATATCAAAAAAAAAATCAATTTTAAGTCATGCGCTTTGTAAGAGAGCAATGAAACGCACGTGGGTTTCTCTTTTGGTTATGACGAAAGTGCATCCTCGATTTGTACATAGTTCCTTCTATGGGAGAATTCGTGAATGAAACATTACGAGTTGCTGAATCGGATATGTATGAATTTTAGTTTTTTTTCTTCTTTTTCGTGAGTTTTAATATAAATGCGGAGTTTTTACTCTTTCTTTACTGTTGGATGTTTGACTGACTGTCTGCTACTATATATCTGTTTTAACAAATCAATTACGGCAATCTATTTGAATGTCCTTAGTGCATTGTCGTGCGACTTGTTTCAAAACTCTCTATAATGATGATTCTAATGGGAATCGAACCCTCTAAAAAGTGACGGTTTACTGATTTCTTATTATGCGTCTAAATTTGTGTGACCTTGACTTTAGAATACAGTCAATCATCAATGACATACAGGAATCTAATTATTATAGCTCACTGCCAAAGATAAAACTCTTCCTGCTTCAGCACCATGAGCAATCCAATCAATTCACAAAAACAAAAGAAGGCGCTAGCAACACCCCCAAAACTTATCATCAAATTCAACTCGAAGCTATTTTTAGTAAAACTTTTTTTTTGTTCACAAAAAGCAGCTTTTTTGCTTAACATAATCACATTTTCATGAGGATGGAGAGAATGGAAAGAGAGGAAAACATTCTGATACATGCTGGGGTGTGAAAAAAATATCTTTCTCGTTTGTTCGCTGCAATGACGTCATAGAAGCAAGTTCATTCATTAAAATTTTCTCTTTTATGCGCTCTGAAATATGTGCATGTCAGCGTAATCTTACAAAAGCAGCGATAATGCTTCCTTTTTACTGTAATAAAAATAGAAACTTCTTATGTTTGATTACTTTTGATGGATTTATTTTTGTCTGTAATCTTCGCACATAAATCATACATTATTATAAAGTATAAAAATGATTCAAGTACGCAATTGAGAGGAGAACCTTGACCTTGCCTCTTGTATAAAATGTCAAAGAAGAGAATTTGTACTTTTTTCTAACCATGAATCACATATTTTTTGCTTGGTAATTGTTGTCTGTCTGAGAATTAATTTATGGGACGATAATGAATAAATTTTGTTAATTTTAGACCAAGAACTTAGCTGGGGTCTTTCGTAAATAATGTCAGTAAATAAAAGGTATGAAATTGTATTCTTAATATGTCCTGAACTTTGATGTAAAATAAAATCCTTTAAAGTCTCACACATCTACAAGCCATCCATACCAACAAGAAATGTTAGACGTCATAAGCTTACGACTCCCTTCTTCATGCTTTATTAATAAAAATTCACTCATTCCGGTGTCTCTCCTCATTCTCGTCAAGAACTAACCGCTTGAAATAAATTTAAATATTTTATTCCAGCAAACATTAAGTTGAAATCATTTCTGGAGGTTTGCGAACATGATATGAATTATTTGGTGCTGTTTTTCTGATTAAATTCTTCTCATTCCAAATACCAACAAAAAAATAATCTTTATCGAATTTTTTAACGTCTGACATTCAGAAAAAGAAGAGTTTTTTATAGCTGATATGGGATCTTGAATGTCGATCGAATTTTTAATTAAATTTTTTTATAGGAATCGAAAATGAATTCTTTAGTTTGGTTTTAGATTAAGAATGGATAAAATCTATAAAAAGGTTGATTTTGGGGTCGATCAAATGTTATGTATGAACACTTTGAGATTTTCAAAACTTATTATTTCAAGTTTTGACGTCATACAGAGATTGTCTTTTGTTTAAACCTTATTTTTGGATGTCTTTTTACCAGTGAATTTAATATTGATGAAAATGAATTTTGAGAATCTACCATGAAAAACATATGTGAGCTATAAATAGTATTATGGATGAAATTTCTATCATAAAAGTCTGAGTAATGTAAGAATATATCTAGGAAGGAAATATTGGGTTGCTTCTTATTGTTATTTCCAACCAGATATCTGTAATCAAAATTCAATGATGAAAATATAATTTAAGAGTCATTGAACTTCTTTTTAGGATTGTTAAAAATTGCATTCAATTGCTCTGTGCTGGAAGTTTAAGAAAATATCTCGGATATAAATCTTTGCATGATGCTAGATGCATGCTTTAGTTATTTCATCAAAAACTGATGCAGCCACGATTTGTTGTAAGCTAAAATTCAATCGTAAAGCTCAATCCAACACAACAAATATTAAATTGAATAAATTCTTTCACGATAGCAATCAACATATTACAAAAGGCCTTACTATTTAAAATCGTAAGGTTGAACAAATTTAATGCTGCCTTCTTCTTATTCTAATGTTATTGAATTGCATTCAATTGATTATTTCATATGATGCAATTACTTCTGGTTCTCTCAATAACCGTACTTCTTATATAATGATATACTAAAGAATGCAGTGATGTGATTAAAAGAAATATTTTTAAGTAAGAGCAACGTTGTGGAACGAATGAAAGAGCGACGAAGGTAAAGTTTGTGGAACAGAGAGAATTAAAATTTATTGATGAGCGAAATGTTTTTAGAAAGTGGATTAAAAAAAGAAAGAAACCAAAAGTAAAAAAAAATAAAATATTTTCTTCGACTGAACATGCAAAGTCTTGAACTTTGTTTTTCGCACTAAACGTAAAATATTAACGGCATTGAGGTTAATAAATAAATTAAAGACTTTATACTGGAAATATTTAATTAATTGCCTGTAATTTCCTCGACAAATGCACAGCAACATGCATTTAAGTACTACTGGATTAATTTTTAATTGCTGATTCATTGAGAATGGGTCAATAAGCTGTAATTTTGTATTGTAAACTGATTGATACTATGAAAATTTGTAGTTTGTAGATTTCTAATGTCCCTTTAGCAATCGATCCAACTTTTAATTTTTTGTGAAGGTATAAAAATAATAAATAAATTGTTGGAATTTAAAAACATTAGCTTTACATGAAATGCAGTTAATAGAAGAGTTCATTGATTGAAAGCTGATTTTATGAGTTATTTATTTTTAAATGAGGAATAGAAATGAAAATTTAAATGTTTAATATTCACTTCTCAATGCTTTCAAGAGTTAGTCATTACTGTAATTAAAGAAAACTAGTAGACCATATTATTATACTTAGTATCTTCTTTAAGCTTAATGCAGCTAAGTGTACAATTATTTACAATAAATTTGTAGCTTTGAAAAATACAACAATTTAAATTAAAACCTTGCAATTTAAATAAAATCATTAAAATAAACATTTTGATTTGTTTTCTGAAAATTTCCAGAATCCTTTAGACAACACTTCTTCCCCACAAAATTAAGCACCAAAAAGTCTATACTAATTCAAAAAAAAAACTCAAGAAATTGATGACGAAAACCTTCGTTTAAAAACATTTTATTGAAATTTACAAAAAATATTAAAGATAAGAAGTAATACAGAAAGGAATCAACACACTGCCTCAGCAGATAATTTACTAATCTGAACAAACGTCAAAATAAAATAAACAGACATGAGACATTATTTATTGTGCTGACGTAAATGAAGTAAGCAACGGATAAATGAAGCATGAAGCACTTTGGACCAATTAATTGGATATTTCCGATACTTTTAATTAAAACACTGGATATCCATAAAATTCTGGTTATTCGAATGAGATTGAATTTCAACAACTTTCTTATAAGTTTTCTATTGTATAAGAACAACTTTTGTAGGATTATTAGAAGAAAAGAATTAGTGCATTTTCTTGACGTAAAAACATAAATGTACACAAAAAAATTTAATTAAAGTAATTCTTTGTCTTAGCATTGTTCTTTATCTTTTTATTACTCTTTAAATTTCTTTCTGCATGCTCAACCCACGCTTAACATATTATACCGAACAGCACAGAAAAAGTTTGCATTTAAAACTTATTATTTTATCAATCCTGTACTTTTTAGCAGTTAAATGACTTTAAAACATTAGGATGATAAAATAAAAATTAAATCTAAATTGAAAGTTCACCAAAAAATTAACTTTGGGTACCAAACTAGTTCCTGTGCAGCTCGGATAACATAAAAAGTTTTAAGCACATCTCTTTCTTTGTAAAGAATTTAAATTCATAGATTCTCCTGACATTTTCTTCCTTCTTATTATTTAATTATTTTCTTTATCACTCTTTTGTTGTCTTTTCCACAGTTTTACTTCTTTTCGAGAAATTCTCTAATCATGCGATTAGTTTCGTCTGGTTTATGTTGCTGTGCAAAATGATTAGCTCCTTTGATAATATTGAACTCTAATCTAGCCAACTCTTGCATTGCTAATGATCCAGTTTCACGTGAAATATATTTGTCATATTCACCAAGAAGAAAGAGACCAGGAACAGGGTTTTGAGGACGAGGCAATCTGCGGTCAGGATCAAGAACACGAATAGCTCGATAATAATTTATTGGATAAGTTAAAGCGTCTTTCTTAGCGAATGTGTACTTAAAGCACTCGATATCTTCAGCAGTTCCAAGTTTCATTGTCTCAAATGCTCTCAAGTCTTGCATTCTTAATGCAGTTTCAGGTAAGATTGGCATTTGGAAGAAGAAGACATACCATGACATAATAAATTGTTTAACAGATCCAGTAACCAATTTCTTCCAAGCTTGAGTTGTTGGTCCACCAATCATAATATACTTTTCTAATGTCTCCGTGTATCGATAAACATAGTTGAAGCCAATAGCTGCACCTATTGATTAAAATTGAAATTAAAAACTCAGGATCGAATCAATTCAGTAGCAACAATTTGATTTCGTTCTAAGCTTCAAACACTCTTGCTACATCCATTTCAAAACTCACCCCAGTCATGTGCCACTAAGATGAATTTCTCTCTTCCTATAACGATAGTTCATTTTTAAAAATAGATTAGTGACGTAATAGAAATAATTGAATTGATAAGATATGCCACGTGCGGAATGTCTGTTGATACTTTTCTTATTATTTACACTTTCCTCGTGTAAATGAAATTCAATTTTTGTGTGCGCGATAAGAAATTCAAAACCTTACCTAAGCTCTTCACAAGTGCATTAATATCGTCTGCCATATTATCAACATGATATTCCGAGACGTTGCTAGGCTTATCAGATTGTCCATAACCACGTTGATCAATTGCAATAGTCCAATAATCTTTGCTGAATTCTTTCAATTGATGGCGCCAACTGTACCAAAATTCTGGAAAGCCGTGAACGAAGACGATAAGTGGATTTTTTGGATCACCTTTCTCGACATAATGAAGTTTGATGCCCTTGAAAAAAGAACAGGAAATGAATAAGATTGTGGTAATGATAAAGTTCAGGTACAATGTTCATGATTCCAATTGTGTTTTTTTGTAAGATTGTTCAGAATTACGAAATACCGACAGAAATCTGATTTTTATACAGTCATGGGTACTTAATTATTTGTAGCCATCGATCAAATTTTCATTCTCATAGAATGAAATATGACTCCTTCATGACAAAAGGAGAAGAAGGGAGCAACAGCTTGGCTTAAGTTTAAAGGAGTATTTGTTTAGGTATTGCTTTAATCTGTGGCTGTCAAGCTGTTTGCCTTTAGAATCAAATTTAAATCTTTGTTTTGTTTACTTTAAAGAAGCCTTTTTGATGTGTTTCAGCAGACTGGAAGCTTAAATTGGTTCATCGAGTATTACAAAGTGTAGCCTAAGATATCCTCAAGAAAATGACCGAAAAGAATTAACTAATGCCTTAAAATTCAATATTAGTGTCAATATGTACTTAAAGAATTAACGCTTTCATTAAGAATCACATCCATTAATCGCTAAGTACACACAAAAAATAAATTTCACCTACATTGACATTGGCGAATTTGTGAACGCCAAACTCATTTCCAGTTAATGGTGCAGGTGGATTTGGACGGTCCTTAACTTCAAATAGGCTCTTCTTAAAAATATAAACTAGTAATAATGCAAATGCAATAAAACTAGAGTAAAAGACCGACAACGATACGAAGATTATAAATTTTATCACATCACTAAATCTTGTCATTTTGGGAGGTACGAAAAATAAAATGACGAATTGTTAATAAAATAAATAAACTGTCACAGCACAACGCACTGCTCAAAGTCGATACAATGTGTGCATTTACGGCAAACTATCGTGAGCGACTGAATGAGTAAAAAAAAATTATTTTCATCGCGCGTGTAAAAATAGCATAAACGTATCTCGTGCTCAATAAAAAAGCCGTTTCTCTTAATGTTTTTTTTTTCTTCTTTTTTTTTGCATCCATGCGTTGAGCGGACAGAAAAAAATGAGAATTTTGAGATTTAAAATAAATTTTTCTGGACACTTGAGCTATTCGCGTTGAGAGAAGTTCAATTAAGCTAATCTAAGTACTCAAAATATTCTTCTTTGACAGAGTTCGTTTATAAATGACGTCATCAATAAATATATGAAAATTTTATCACATTTCTGCAAAACTTATTAAAATGACATAACTGAACTCTCCCAAACTTAGAAGTCATAAGGAAATGACCTTCAAGCATTAGAGAATTAGATTAGCGATGGATGAAATTTTTTTGAAGTAATGAAGCTTTACGACCTTACATGAGGCTACTTAAGTTTGAAAATTAATTACTTTACTTAACTCAAGTGGCAAAGCTTGAGAAGATCAAACCAATATCTCTAGTTCTAGACTTAATCATTTCATTAATTTACTAGAGTTTGTTTTTTTGGAGAAAATAAATCCTTAACTTCAAGCAACACATAAAATCCACGAATAGAAAATATTTCTTGATACGCCATTGCATATTAATAATAATCTTAAAGTTTATTTATAAGGATCTTATTAAAGTCAACAATAATATTCTACCGAATTTGATTAATACTAAATGCAAATTTAAGCAAAACGTGCGGAGCGTGTAGTGATTGATGAATTTATGACTTCAACTTTCGTACTTGAGAATCCCCAGACTCAATATATTTTATTTTAATTGCTTGAGAATTTTTAATTCTTTAAAATGACAATCAAGTTTTGATAAAATGAGTCAAAGCTGACATATTCAAATTAGAGTTCATATCAAAAGTGACTACTTAATGCTGTGTTTATGGTTCTCTTTGATTCAAACTTCGCTTTACTAAAGCGTCTGAAACAACCATATCTGGCTTCAATTTGGCATAAGATTTACTAATCTTTTAGCAACAGTAAATATTTTATGGATTCTCAACCTTTCTTGAACCTTCCATACCACTTGTCAGTCACGTTTTCTGCAAAAACACAAAGTCATACAATATCTCACCTTAAGCGACATAAACAGTCCCTTCGAGAATGTCACATTAAATGCAAACATCTTCAAATGTCAACGATTTTATTAATCTCATACTTTAAACAAATTTCTTATTCATCGAAAAAAAAGGAGAATCAATAATGTCAATTGTGTTCTCAAAAACTTTAGTAATTTTTATATTTTCCTCGAAAGTCTCTGCTCCGTTCTCGTAAATTCTTCGAGTTTTCCAACAAGACATCCGTTGACTCAACCGTATTTCTTCTATTTCTTTCATTAAATTTTGACCGCATCGGCGTTGTGTGACTAGATGAATCTGTACTGCTGAAACTTGATGATGACGAAGATGACATGGAGTCTCCCCAAGCAGTTCTTAACTTTTTTGGTTTTCGTGCTTTTGCAATAATACTTCCACAAACAGCTTCGCCCACGCTGACGTCATGTTTAGCTTTTGTACCATCAGAAGTTGTAGGTCGTTTACCTATCGAAATGTGTGTTACTGGGAGAATTTGGGGTGAGATTGTTTGTGCTGATGAAGGTCGTTCTTCAGTAAATTGTAAGCGATTCATATCTTCTATTCTTGAATTTACTGTTTTTAAAATTTGATTAGAGCAAATGACATTCTGATAATCCAATCTTAGTAATTCAATTTTAAGTTCATCATTGACATCTTCGTATGCTGTTTGATCCAATATTGCTAAATGAGGAATGTGTGATCTCACAATCTGACGGTAATTTTCCTTTTGTGTTATTCCATTATTGGTCAAGTCGAGGACATTTAAATTAAGACACAGTCCAAGAAACATCATGCCATGAAAGTCCTTAATTTTGTTGCTAAAATTATTCGTTTTATTAGTGAAAGTATCCAAAAAGAAATATTTTATCTTTACCATTTTAAGCTTATTTTCCTTATTTGCGGTAAATTTGAGCACGGACCAGCATCTTCAATTTGATTATGGTCTGCAACGAGCTCGATAAGAGTAGACAATCCATTTGTACCATCTAAAGATTTAAGCCCACATCGACTGATATTTAAATATGCTAATGACGTCAAATCGCAGCCAAGATCGCGCTGTTGAATACAAAATAATACAAAATAGGGTGAATTATAGGAAATAAAAATTATTTCAGTCTATGGAAACTTACGAGTGAGAATAGCAAGCTACCTTCCAAAGTTAAATGTCTTAAATGTGGCATGAAATATGGTAAACGTTGTAGACTGATTGCTGACGAAATGATCCGTAATTTTACTTGCTCAACAGTTGCAATGTCACTTTTGCCTGTCACTTGTCGCTAGTAATAAAAAAATGTATTAAAATTCAATTTTTTTATGGACGAATAAGCAGAGATACTAACAAGCAATTCTTCGAGGGTTGGTTCTGTTGGTAATTTAATTGGCTCATATTTTTCATCTTCCTCTTCCTCCACGTGTCTACTTCTTACGTTACGGATGCTGTTCAAATTAATATTATTAGAATTTATATCAAGTGACTCATCATCTTGAATATTTGTCGAATTGCTGCTAATTGACACAGATCGTGAATCTCTTATATAATTCGCATTAATTAGAATTATATCGGACGAGTTGGACGATAATGATGAATTAGATGGCGATAACAGTGGTTTAATAAATTCATCCGGTAGTTCCTGTTCAGGCATTATTTATTTAACACTTTTAACACACCAAACTTATTTTCATTAATGCGAAATAAATGTTTCTTGTTTAACAAAATAAAACTTTCTAGAAGGTAAAGTTCCTCGTAAACTTGTTATTTTTCATTGCTATGGAAATTCTATTTTCGTCGTCAAATGTTTTCTTTTTGCGCGCTTTTCACTTTGATGTTGTGGAATTTGTAGTTCAGTTTGGGATGTGTTAGATGCTGGCTTCTTTATGTTTTAATAAGTTTTTTCTGAATGAAGATTAGATTTTGGAAGTGTGGAACTGTGAAAAATATTCCAATTTATATTTTTAAAAATTAAAAAACCATGAAAATAACCAAAAAAGCTTCTCAACCAAAAGAACTAGACGTTCAAGCTTTCTCTTTTCGTATTTTTGTTGACATCAACAAAAATGTTTTTTCTTCTTATTCCAGCTTTTTCGTGCCCTATGGCTGAAATGCTTTTTGATTCGATTATTAATAGCCAATCAACAGCCATTGAACATTTTTCGAGCACAAATTGTTTGATCGATATTAAGTGAAATTTCACTTGCCTTTTTTTCAGAGAAACAAAAATTTTAAAAATTTGTTTAAAAACAAATCAGAAACAGCATAAGCACGTGTGTGGGAATCTAGAGATTTGTTTTGATTTCATTTTAGAGATAATTAGATTTTCTCAATTACTTAATGGTTTTTTAAGAGACTGATTCTTAATTAAATGTTTGATGTTGAAGTAAATCTTTCAATTAAAATCGTTTGGTCTCAAATGTAATATCTATTTTTATCTGTTGTGTTATCAAGACATGGATTTTCTTGCACGCGCTATTTTGTCCCGTATTAGTTCCTCGAATTTTTCAAGTTTCATTACCTTGATTGTTTAAGTCATTTTTTGTTTGTTTTGTGCCTTTTTTTGTTGCTATAAACATTTTTATGCATATTTTTTGGAACATTGTTGAATTTGACAGGTGATTTCGCTTGGTTTTTAAATGCTCTGTTTTTTTTGATGCCAATGACACTGTACTAAATGTTGATGAAAACTGAACAAAAAAGTGCATAAAAGATGATTTCAGCGTATAATTAGTGAATTCTATTATGCTTTATTATCTGCAGAATATGATTTTGATTTCTGAAAATTCAAAACAACATCCAATACATATCTGCTTTTTAAACTCATCTACAGAAGAGAATGCGGTATGCAGAAGAATTTGATGTGCTTTTAACAGTAGTTTTTACCTTCGTGCTTTAATGATATTTGTCTTTTCCAACTCTTTATGCGTGTGTTACCTTCTGTTCATACAATTCTTAATTAAGTCATTTGGAAGTGCGAAAATGCAATTTAAACTTACACATTAAAATGTTTGTTGTTCATTAATTTGTGTTTGAATCATCACCATTTGTTCAATATGAACTAGTCTGAACGAATAATACCTTACTGCCTTGGGAAAGCATTTGTTATTCCGTTCATTTTATTATACATAATTTCTTAGAATTACTGAGTAACAAATAACATTAAAATCTTATATTTCAGGTATTTTATAGAATAATATTGAATTTCTGAATCATAAAGTCAACACATGTCATCACTTAAAAATAGAATTGGTCATTTCATATTTGATAACTCAAAGTCATGTAAATAAAAAAAGTTTTTACTTCACAATTTATGTTTTTAAACATGATTATCTGCCTGAATATATTTTTTTCACACTGCTGATTATCAAACTAATGGACTTGAAATCTGATAAAATAATCCCTTAATGGAAAGACACCATTTATTGCAAAAAAAATGACCGTAAATGATTTTATAATACCATGATTATTATCCAGTATGACGAGCTAATCTACTTTTTTATGCAGCCAACTAGCTTTAATCGCAGATATCGTGCTGTTAACATTTTAAATAAACATTGTGTATGGTTGCATTTTAAAGCAAAAATAGTATTAATGTTGTTGTGTAATTAAGGATCTATAATCCTATTGTTGGTTTTATTATGTTATACCATGTAATTTTCGTGAAAATATTTGTTATTTAAAAAATATATAAAGCTTGAATGTGATGTGGATTGTTGGATGAATTGAGCTTTGATTTTTGGATATTTCATGAGTTTCAATAATGGTTTTTGGATCGTATAAATTCGATTAAGTGATTCTTTAATTCAGGTACAGATTTCAATGAATTCGCTTTTAATTACCTTTTAAGCATCTTTTAAACTTTAAAAGAAGATGTAAACCATACAATAAATAACGACATTTTTCTTCAGAACCATACAACAGTTCAATACATTTGTGAAGTTTTAAACAAAAAATTCAAAAAAAATATCCGTTTAAATTTATTTTAAAACTGTTTAATCAACTAATTTTCAAACTCTATCCATAGCACCAGCATAGACCAACTAATTTTCTTGCAACAAGGATAATTCCTTGCATTTGCTTCACAATTCGTGATCGTTTGAGCAGAAATCGCATTTTATTATGTCCTTTTATTTAATTTTCGTATCTATTATTCACCAGTTGATAGGAAAGCTTCTCGTTGTGGACATCGGTATTGTGAATAATACAACAAAATTCAATATCAATGTACTTGATACAATTGGTGTCATCGTTTATAATTATTAACGTACACTTGACCACAATTTCACGCAAACATCCACACACAAGCACTCAATATTAAGGGTTTAAAGGATATATGTGTTGAGAGGGTAAAGGATAAATGAACAGTCATATGAGTCAGTCACAAGCGTCTGTTAGAAAAATCATAGAACAATAAATAAAGTCAATAATTTTTTTATCATCGTTAATATATCATCGGCAGGACTTAGAGTCAGTTTTGAACAGTTCAGTTGACGAACAGCTTTGGAACAGATCAGAACAAAAAAGGAAAAAACCAAAAATTGAGTTTTAAGAATGTAGGCACAAAAAGTGGCGTTCTTGAATTTTTTCACAGTGCTACGCAATTAATTTCATTTCGGGAATATATAAAAATTAAATTAAAAAAAAATATGGAAGGCGTTGCCTTAATATTATCGACAATTTGCTTCAATTCCACATTTTGCCAAGAACCGCCAATCGTACCCCAAGTTAATTTTGTTGAGTTTTATAAGGGTGAGGTTTTTTCGAGTAATATCCAAATTGCGATGCTTGAGAAGCAAAAGAAGATGGATAAAATTGCGAGAGATCTGAAGGGACAAACGTTGACGATAACAACTATAGAGGACTATCCGTTGTCTTATATAGAACGTGTTAATGACAAGCTAGTGTTGCGGGGACGAGCATTTGATTTTCTAGAAATTTTGATGAAGAAATTCGAGTTTAAATACGAACTTGTTCTGCCAAATTTCAATATTGCTGGAAGCTCAAATGACTCGACTGGATCAATTATGGAAATGCTTGTTCAGAAGGTAGGTCAGAGGTTGCAGATTATTATTGTATGACTTCAAACGAATTAAATAGATTTTAAAATCAATCGTTGGTCCTCAATTTGAAATCTTAAAATACTTTAAAGTTACAAAATTTATTTGATTTTTTCCAGAAAGTGGACATGGCTGTAGCTTTTATCCCATATATGGCTGATTTACTGAGGTAAAATTACATCATTGAATTTTTTATATTTCATCATTCATTGCAATTTACCTTTCTCGCAGCCATATTGAGTTTTCAACACCACTAGATGAAGGCGAATGGAGAATGATCATGCTGAGACCACAGGTAAGTGGCATTATTGATTTAATTCATGTAGTTTGGACAGAATAAGTAATGGTTCCCAATCTGTGGTTCATAACACATTCTTATGAATGTTGGTGTCTTTTGGTCCTCATTTCAAAATCATAGATGCTAAATCAAACTTTTCTTGACCCTCGTGTATCCTTTTGTCATTAAAAAATTACATAGAAGTGCAGCAACACAAAAAAATAAACCTATAGCTATAAAATACTAAAATTACAATTTAAATACTCAGGAATCAGCCTCTGGTGCAGGTCTTTTGGCTCCGTTTGACGAAATAGTTTGGTATTTGATTCTGGTTTCCTTGATTGTTACTGGACCGATCATATTCTGCATTGTGTGGCTTTATTGTCGATTTGCCAAGGATGATGAGGAACAAAAGTATTATACACTATCTCAGTGTGTCTGGTATGTCTACGGTGAGTGTCAATTTTATTGAATTTATTAAGCAAGCATTAAACTAGTGCCTAGTTATTTACCGAAGCTTTGTTTTATTTGTGCAGCCGTTATGAAAATTGTGCAATTTTTTTTTTTTTAACTTAAATGAGAATTTCCAAATTGAGATATTGAAGGCTTCGATTTGTGTAATCCCAAACAACAATCCAAGAACCTCTATGTATACATAATTAATTCAAACGTTCTAATATATCCCAAAATAGGTGCATTAATGAAGCAAGGATCAACATTAACGCCAACATCAGACTCAATTCGAGTTGTCTTTGCAACATGGTGGATGTTTATTACAATCTTAACGAGTTTCTACACGGCAAATTTGACTGCTTTCTTGACACTCTCAAGATTCACATTGGACATTAATGAGCCAAAAGATTTGTTGAACAAACGACATCAGTTTATTGGCCTTCGTGGAAGTGCTGTGGATTATGCTATACGCAATGTGAGTTTATTTTTGGATTTATTATGTCAATATTGTCCCTAGCTCGTTTTTATTGGTCTAGATTCAATACAATTTGAAGATCCTTACATTCAGTTTCTAATTCTTTAATTAAAAAACTAAGCATATAATTTGGTTAGTTGTTACTTTAAAACCAATTAACCAATTTAATTAATATTTCGTCTACATCTACCAAAAATAATTCCCACCCACCAAGTCATCAAAAAACATGTACAGCAATAAACGTCAAAAGCGTCCAATTGTAATCAACAATCAATGTAGAAGCAAAAAAATAGATGTGAATAATTTATGTGACAATTGTCAACAACTCAACTTATGTTGTTGCTGTTTTATTTGATAGAAAACATTTTTATTCCTACACTTCTCCTTCATTATATTCACTTTATTCGTTATATACTCATTAATTTATATTCAAAATATTTGTAATTCATGTTTATTTTATTATTTGGTTTTGGAAGCATATTTTTTTTGGTTCTTTCTTCGGTCATTTGTCAATTTCTTGATGTGTTGCTTTATTTATATTTGTCGAGCATTTTGGGATTTTTCGTTGCCAATTTCTGTTTGGGTGACTTTGAAATTATTCAAATGTTTTTATAAAGTGCTGTTGTAAGGTTTTGTTTGCGAATCATCAGATTTGAAACCCCACAATTGTATAAAAACTGTTGTATGGTTTTTGTAGTAATTAATGCTTCAAAACATTACAAATGTTTTATTATTTTAAATTGTTGTAAGGTTTTAAAAAATTTATATTAAACTTGAATATTCAATGCGCATTAAAAGATCCCTTAAAATCCATTCCTACTTCAACCACGCACGAACTCCACACACATTCGTAAATTCTGATACACATTTACATGAAAAAAATGAATTATTGTTTCTCTAATTACACGTGAACTTGCTATTGATGATCCTTTTGACAGCTAATAACATGTATGTGACTTATTATAGTACTTTATCATCCACCCTTGACATCCTCATCGATAAAATGGAAGAAAAATACAAGAAACTAATATCCACACTATCTTGATATTCCACTTTGTTCTACGCTATTCAATGTCATAGTTGAGGATGTCTAACATGTCTTAATAACATATCAACAATTCTTTTTATTTAATTGATAATCTAGTCAAATGAGGAGCTTGACTTCTTAATGCCAATGGTTGAAAAGAGTTTGGGGATTTTCTCGAACAAAAATAATGACACTGATATTCTGTTAAATCAGATAATGAAGAAGGACTATGTCTTTATTCGTGACAAGCCAGCAATTGATCATCTGGTAATAGCTATACATAGAGCGTTTAGTTCTTATGAATATTTAAAACATGCTAATTTAATTAATTAGGTATATAATGATTGGAGAAAGCGCAAAACCATGCCATCCGAGAGGCTTCAATGTCCATTCGCATTGTCAAAGCTTTCATCGCTGAGACGAAAGAGAGGATTTGCATTCCCAATTGGATCTAAGTGGCGTCCTCTGTTTGATGAAGTGTATGAATTAATTTATTTATTTTTAAGACCTTACTTATATCCAGTGCTAATTTCTCCTTAATTGAAGGCTAATTCACGCAGTTGAGAGTGGAATTGTTAAGCATAGACTCAGTTATGGCTTACCAAAAGCTGAAATTTGTCCACAGAATCTTGGATCGTTGGAGAGACAACTTCGTCTAAATGATTTGGCTACAACTTACTTAACCATGCTTGTTGGATTTGTTACAGCACTGGTCGTGTTTGTATCTGAAATAATTATGAGATACTTCTACAAGAGAAAGGCACGTTTGGTTCGTGATGAAGGTCCAAGGAGAATTCAAGTACAGCCAAAGAAGTCACGACATAAGCAAGTTTACCCGGAGACTAAGCAATCACCCCCACCAAATTACAACGTAAAAAAATTTTTTTAATTCCAAAATATCTATTAATTCATAAATTTACTTTCTTTTAGGATGCAATCAAGACAATTTCAAGCTTGCAGCCAAGCACAAGCAATCAAAAGTCAAATGTTGACTCGTACAGGACATTTAATGGACGTACTTATGCGGTTGTTAAGACAGATGGGGGAACTCAGCTAGTTCCAATGAGAGCACCATCGGCAGCTTTATTCAACTATCAATATACATATAGCAACTACTAATATGTGACTTGAGACAATTAATTTTGATCAAAAACATGAAACTGCTTAGCAGTTCAATGTCATAGATTCAGGGAAGGCTTTAAAGCCTCAAAAACCTTTGTTTGTTGTGTGTTTAGGACTTTTAGGAAGTTTTGAGTGATCAGCACAGACAGAAAACAAATTGTTGTTATTTTCATTGAAAATAAATGTATTTGTGAAGAAAAAAAAGGCTTAATGTCTAATTCATATAAAATTTCAGCATTAAAAAGGTGTCGGAAGTTTCTTTATCTCTTCCTTAACTTCATCAAATAGCTCTTTGTAGTCTGGATTTTTACGAATCATGAGAACAATGGATCCACGCTTAACGCCCATAGCTGTTCCTAAATCCTGTCGACTTGGTGTGTAGCAATATTGGATATCTTTTTCCTCACAAACAGCTGGAAGATGGCAAACGATGTCAAGTGGAAAGACATCACCAGCAAAAATTGCAATTCCACGTTCACCTTTTCGGATTCTTGTCTGTACATCCTTCAATCCATTAATGATATTCTTTGTACGCTCTTTTGATGCCTTTTTAATAAGCTTGTAAACCTTTTTAGCCAACTTCTTTGATGCCAATGGATTTGAAATTTTATTGATGTTGAGAATCTTTTCGTCTGTAAGTTTATTTATCAGTTATAAGCTCAAATTGATGCTTATTGTTTCGTTTCTTACCGTAATTGTCTTCCAATTTGACTTTGCTTGTATCTGCGTCACCTTTCATGGCTTAAAACTGTTAATTATTGTACTTTATAGCTTAAAATAATAAATCGGCTTCAAACGCACGTTGTTTATATTTACCAATTTATGAACGTACTCAACAGCTTCGTACCCCTCGATACAATTTAAATTTTCAAATAAATAAAAACGGTTAAAACAAAATCAGTTAACAACAATCCAGTGAATTAATAAAATTTATTCAATAAAATTAAAGTCTTGAAACAGTAAAAAATTAGGAATAACAAAAAAGTATCCAATATCCATAAATAAATGTAAATCAGGTGATTATAAAAATTTTAATTTAGAACATTATTGGTCTTTGTGGCATGCATAAATTGTAATAAGCTGTCTTATCCCAAAAACTCGAATTCTTCCATCCACACCAACCTTTATTCTGCACAATTTGAAGATCATCTGATCCTGTAAAATGTGGATCTAAAATCAAGAATTTCAGCTCTCCTGTATTGCTGTTAAAATCGACTCCCAAAATTGTGTGCGCTAAAACGCCACCACCAATCTAGAAAGTATCAGAGTCAGTGTCATGGATGCCATAAAATAAAGCTAATTGCCTTACCATAATTGGAGTTCCTTGAGACTCGAAATGATATGCCAATTCTGAGCCTTTTGATGCCAATTCTGAACCCGATGTAACATGCATAATTCGAGAATCAACGTTCATAAATCCATGCAAGCATGTTGACACTTCCATAGATCCAATCCATTGACGCGAATTTATAAAATTCGATGGCTTATCGCCGACTTTCACTAAATAACGTTGAATTTCTTCGTGATTTGGAACTTTAGTACTGGAATAACCTTGGAATCTGAACCATGAACAAAGTGTCTGAAGGGATCGGTAGGCACAACTGTCAATTAATTATAGCAATTAGGAAATATCTATCGCTGAATCTTAGAACTTACCCCCATCCATCGTCGTTGAAATTATCCTGCATGTAGTGATGATACGTGTATTTCCCTTGTACAAGTGACTGCTTACCACCAATAACAGAACTTTTAAGACCAACATGTGGATTTACTAATAAACTGCTGTTTGTGACACTAAAATTATAATTATTTGATCGTCTAAAAACAGGTCGCGTTAGTGCTATGCCTAATTGCTGATGTAATTCACGTCTTTTTGATGTTAGATGCTTCTCATCATCAGGTGTGGAATCAGCATAAATGCATGTATAGAAATGTCCAAAATTATCGGGCTTAAAATGAAACGTTGATGGAACTGAAACTTTCTCTGTCTGTTCCAAGACATTTTCCTCAACTAATCTCAATGTGCGGCATAAAGACTCGACAAGAATATCATAAAGTGCCATAGTTTTTGTATTAATGTGAAGTGCTGCAATAGCGTCAATTTTTATCGGAATTAAGATTCTATTTCTTTCCAAGACGAAGTTTAATGCTGCACGGCTATTCTTCTCATTTTCATCAGACTTTTTAATTAAACAATTAATGTTAATTGTCGTGAAATCTGTTGGAATTTGTTCCTTCTTTGACTTCTTTCCTTCATCTTGCTTCTTTACTTTTAAAACATCTAGTAAGTCCAACATGACAGCTTCCTGATTTAGTCCAATGACTTTATCTGTATCGAAAAATATCCTGTGATCTTGACATTGAAATATAACATTGCCTGAAGCTAATTTCTTGCGAACATTTAAAAATTCATTCTTAATGCTTTTTACATTGTTGTCAATTGCAATTTCGACATATCCAAGGAGTCGTGCATAGAAGAACTGACGATATAAAATCTCTTCAGAAATCACTTCATACTCAATTTCAACCAACTTCCCATTACGATATTGTGATGCTTTTAACTCAAATTCATCGCCTTTATGACTGCATTTAAGGAGAATGGGATTGTCTGTAATGTCAACGCATGCTAAAATCTCTTGCATATGTGCTTCCGTATCGCTGCATTCACCAAACTTAAATAGTCCACACAGGTCAGTTTCGGTCGGAAAATTATCTTGCATTTTCTTAAAATTTAATATATCTGAAGACTCTAAATCAAATCCCATAATAATCAAGTTTTTTGAATACATCAAGCCAAACAATCCACCTCCACAGACATCCTTTAAGTTTTTAAGTCGCTTTAAATGAAGATTGTTTTGAACGTCATTAATTAATCAACATTTCTGGTTTTAATATTTATTGTAGTAATTTGACAAATTCAGTGGATACTTTCAAGAACATTTTGTACTTACGTTTACCACCAACTGTGAAATCTGTAAATTTGCAGTCATTTTGCACGATAATTAATTAAAATCACGAAGAAAATAAAATTAAAGAAAACTGATTAGTTGTCAATATGAGTGCGTTTAGCAATCTGTTTACATTTTCGGTCTTTTTGGTTACTATAAATGTTCCCTAAACTGTCTGTACTGGTCTGTACGAATAACATAAATTAATAATTTTTATCACACTTAAAATTAAAGGGTCCTACAGTTAACATCGTGAGACAAGTAAATCTATAATCATCTAGTTCCGGTAAACATCCAGTACACACAAAAAATCACAACAAAATGGATTTTGGTGAATTAAAGAACGACACAGCCTTTGTGTCTAAAGTGGAAGCTTCATCAAAAGCCATTGATAATATAAGAAAGATGATCGAGCAAGCAATTGAGATGAATACAGAGGAAATGAGTCTTGAAGATAAAGTCAAGTTTGATATCTTTCTAGCCTATTCAGTAAACTCGCTGTATTTTATGTATCTCAAAGTTGATGGACAGGATGTTACCACACATGAAATTAGGCATGAATTGAGTAGAATAAAGGAAGTAATGCAGAAGAATCAACAAGTTTTAGACAAGAAATTACGACCAACAGTTGCTGTTGATGCTGCAAAGAGATTAGTTAAAGGTGGACTATATGACTTTAAGAAAAAGAATGAGGAGTTCAAGCAGAGATATCAAAATAAGCACCACCATCAACAATCAAGGTCTGGAAAGATTAATATCAATTATAATCCAAATACAGCAGTGAATCGAAAGAGGAAATTTGAGGATGATTAAGTCTTTATTGACATATTTGTAAGAGAAGTAACAAGTTATGGATCATCATAGAATTAACATAATTAAAAAATATACATTATTATAAATATAAAACAGCAGTTTTAATGAATTTTATCTTGCTTCAATCGCTTATTTTGGATCTGAAGGTCCTGAATTATCTAAAATGACAATTATCAGTTAAAGCTTAGAATCATTGCTGCATAACTTACATCATTAGCTTCGTCAAGCTTCCGCTTTAATTCCTCAATTTCCATTTCTTTCATATTATTTTGCTGCAATATTTCAATAGGATTTTCAGGTCGTTCCTTCATTAACTTCTGGAAGTACTTGGAGATATAATCCATTACACCCTTTTTAACTAAATATTTGCGGAAATCCTCTGGAGCTTGATTACAAGGCTGTAAATTAAGAAATAATATGAAAATTTGTTGCTGAAAACGCATGTTTTTTTAAAGATTAAAAAAGTTACTTGTACCAATTGTCTCCGGAATGCAAATGTATTGTACGGCAATTTTGAGCTTTCTATGAATCCAATTTCATCGTCCTTGGATGACATCATACTATTATTAAACTATTTAAAATCTAAATAAATTATCACACTGACTTTAACTTAAAATTTGTCGATTGTTTTTGTCCAAATTTTGAAAGCCGTTGAAAATTTTGATCTTTTTTGAATCTTAAAAGTCTGGTAAAACATAAATCTTCATTTGATTAATTTCCGTATAATAAATCTTTATTATGACAAAAGAGTGAATTTCCATACATCAACTTCAATGTCTTTAGAAGCCTTCTTATGAAATTTATAAGATGAATCGAGATTGTATCTTAATTCAGCAATAACTTCACCTTTACAATTTAGTTCCTTTGCCTTTTTCTGGATGTAGTTCCTTGTTGATGTTTTATGTAACGAATAAACTGAGTGATTTGATAGCTGCGTAGCTACTTTTAAGAATTCTATGTCAATTCCACTATTCTTTTTAGTTCCAAAAGGTGGATTTAAAATTACAGTGTCGAATGCTTTATGCCACTTCTTATTTTCATCTGATATCAAGTCATTCAGAACATCACATTGTACAAAATCCACATTCGTTACTTCCATTTCATCAGCATTGAATTTGGCAATATTTAAAGCATCTAAATCGATTTCAAATCCAACGACATGTGATGCTTCTAAAATAGCAGATCCAATTGTCAACATGCCAGTTCCAGCACCTAAATCAGCAACAAGCTTCTCTCGAATATCATCGTAATTATTTTGTATTGTATAAAGGAAATGACTTGAAATATGTGACGGTGTTATGTATTGTTCTAAAAGTATTTTAGGATTCTCAAAGGAATCAATCGATTGAAGATATTCTTCTAGTTTCTTTAACTTAATCGTTGCAGACATATCTATTCAAATCTAGGCAATACAGGAAGAATCGAGTTCCCAAACGAAGAATCTGTTAAAATGAAAAATCCAAAAGATGACGATTGAGCTTGCTGATAAGTCGCACGTGCAGCTGTATTAATTTGCTGTGATTCCAGCAGTGGCGTTTGATTTGGTGTCGTCTGGATCTGTAAATTATTTTAATTATAATGTTTATGTGAATTATTTAAATTAACTTTGTTGGTTTTACAATTGGCAATCCTTTTTGCAGCTGTTGCTTCTTGAAATTTAAATCCTCCAGTATCTTCCTACTGCTATCTTGTGTATTCATAATTTTAAAGTCCTCAGAAATGTTTTAATTAATGCTTTTTGCTCGAGTTTGACGCTTTGTTGACAATTGTTGTTGTTGTTGGGATGCGTTCAGAAATTTTTTTTGAATGTGTTCAGTTAAATTAAGAGCAAGTAAACAACTGAAATTTCATAATTTTCATCGACGAAAATCAAACTTTAATTAAAATGAGTGCTTCTGTAGATCACAGCGATGATGAAGGACAATTAAGGAGTCCTGAGAACATTCATTCCAACGACGACGAAGGAACTAACGATTCATTAGATATAAAACCGCCACAATCGAAAGAATTTCGATACAAGGAAAAAAAGAAACATAAGAAACATCATGAAAGGAAGCATAAAGATAATAAGGAGAGATATCGTGAATATCCAAAAGAAAAAGATCCAGAGAGGAGATATTCATCAGAAAATAGACGTGATTATAGAGACAAGTATGAAGATATGAAGGCTTATTATAAAGAAAAAGAATATTACTCAAAACGCGGGGATTACGAAAAGCCCAGAAAGCCAGAGCAATCTAGAAGTAGACGATCAAGTCAAGAGGATGCTATGAAGTATGAAAATGATAGACGTGAAGAAGATTTACGCAATCGTTTGATTAGAAGACGCCAACAAGAAGAAACTGAAGTTCCAAGATCCACAAGTAGCCGTAAAGATGAATTTTATGAACGTAAGGACAAAAGAGAATATAAACGTGAACAATTTGATGACCAAGAAGAATATGAGCCCAAAAAACATCGCAGTCACAGACAATTTGATGTAGAAGCTGAAGCGCGTCGCAAAAAGTTCCTTGAAGCTGATAGAAATGATCGTAATAGAAAGCAACGAGCACGTGAAGAACTTGAAGCTAGAAGAGAGCAAATTCGTACAAAGGAACCAACAAAATCTCGCGAAGTAAGTCTGTCACCTGATAGGAAAAAGTCACGTTATGAATCGCCAAGAGCTAAGGAGGACGTTGTAATGGTTTTATCAGATGCACACGATGATGATAATGAGGAAATAGATAGTGAATCTGATAGTTATTCGTCACACTCAAAACAATCGCCAGAATTCGAAATGAGTCCAATACCAGTTGAACAACTTGAAAAATCGCCAATAGATGACCACAGTAACTCAATATCATCACACAGCTATTCTAATAAAAGCCGTTCTAGGTCAAAATCACTTTCTTTAAGTCGTTCTGAAAGGTCTACTTCAACAGGCTCAAGATCCAGTACATCAAAATCATCAATTAGTGAAAGTGAGCATAGCGATGAAAACTATAGAAGAAAATCTTTAGATCATGAACAGTCAGACAAGAAAGAAAATACAGTAAAAGATTTAGATGAAACAAAAGTTGATTTAAATGAAACTGCAGAAGACGAATTGCCATCATATTATCCAGCATTACAAGGCTGTAGATCTGTAGAAGAATTTCAATGTCTTAATAGAATTGAGGAAGGCACATACGGTGTTGTATATCGAGCAAAAGACAAACGTACTGACGAAGTTGTGGCTCTAAAACGATTAAAAATGGAAAAGGAAAAAGAAGGATTTCCAATTACATCTCTCCGTGAAATCAATACCCTCCTTAAAGGGCAGCATCCAAATATAGTCACTGTACGTGAAATTGTTGTTGGAAGTAATATGGATAAGATTTTCATTTGTATGGACTACGTTGAGCATGACTTGAAATCCTTAATGGAAACAATGAAACATAAAAAGCAAGTTTTTCTACCAGGCGAAGTCAAATGTCTTATACAGCAATTAATGCGAGCTGTTGCACATCTTCACGACAACTGGATTCTCCATCGTGACTTGAAAACTTCGAATTTGTTGCTGAGCCATAAGGGTATATTAAAGGTATGTAATCTAATCCGTATATTAATATAAGTTCGCTAAACGTTGTTAAACGATTTATTGAAAATTCACCGCTGTGATAATGTTTAAAAACCTTTCAAATGCAGTAAAAAGATTTTTCAGAAACATTTGTATGGTTTTCACATTTGTATTTTTAAAAACCGTTAATTTTAAATTCTATTTTCATCCATTTTAGGTCGGAGATTTTGGACTAGCGCGAGAATATGGATCACCATTAAAAGAATATACATCAGTTGTAGTCACACTTTGGTATAGGTCTCCAGAATTACTACTAGGATGTAAAGAATATTCAACACCTATCGATGTTTGGTCGTGTGGATGTATTTTTGCAGAATTATTGGCAATGGGAGCACTTTTCCCTGGAAAATCAGAAGTTGATCAACTAAATAGAATTTTTAAAGACCTTGGAACTCCAAACGAACGAGTTTGGCCTGGATATGATCAATTGCCGCTTGTTAAGAAAATGACGTTTACAGACTATCCAGTTTCACAGATTAGAAAGAAGTTTGCAACACATACTAGTGAACTTGGATTATCGCTTCTACAAGGACTTTTGACTTATGATCCAAAGCAGAGGTTAACAGCAGATGCAGCATTAAAGCATAGCTATTTTAAGGAACTTCCTCTGCCGATTGATCCCAGCATGTTCCCAACGTAAGTTATTTAATAATTTTTAAATTATTTTCAGTTTAATTAATTTTCTTTCTCATTCCCAAAATAGTTGGCCAGCAAAATCAGAAGTCGGATGGAAGCGCGCTATGGTAACATCACCCAAACCGCCAAGCGGAGGGACACAGTTTAAAAGATTAGGCGTAGAAGATGAAAACAGTGGATTTACTTTAGGTGGAACATATTCATCGTACGCAGAAAGTAGGAAGTTAGCTATGGGATCGGGTTTTAGTTTAAAATTCTGAAAGTAAATTGTAAATTTAGTTTAAGCACTCAAAACAAAGAAAATAAAATAATTAATTATAAAATCAAAGGCTCAATAAAGCTTCCTTTTTTTTTCAAGCAGTTAACAAAGACTGATTGATGTCTCCCAATAGATTTACTTTACAACGTTTTATGTTTTATTTTGGGACACAATGTCACTGTGTATAACAAGTAAACATGAAAAAGCTTTCATTCATTAGAAACAGGGTGACTAAAAACTATCTGTGACTTTATACATTTTAAATTGAACATATTCATCAAACGTGAGTAATTAAATTTTCAACACCGTAATTATTATTATTTCTATGCATTAATGTGCTAAATGAGGAAACAGGTATATACTGATCACCCCCGACTGACATACTTTATGCTTTTAAATAAATAATAACAGAGTTGGGGGGTTTGATGGATGACATCGATTGTTGGTAAGGATACTGCAGATCTGTTTAAAAGACAGACACTAGTAACAGCATAGGATTACCAAAATCAGCTAAGACACTAAACTGTCGTTACAAGAAGGACTTAAAAATGACCATTGATGACCACATTAAATTCTGCCGGCAACTCTGTTTATATTATGATTCAACATGCTAAAGATAGAAGAAAAAATGTACACAAAACACCTTTCAGTCTCACTATATAAAATACAGAAGAAGAAAAATAAAAAAAATTAAATATATACATATTAAAACTTAGAGTAATGCGCAAGTCGAAGAGTTGAGAGCGATTGGAAAAGCATAACATGAAATTCTGAATACAGCGAGTTCAGTTACAATTCAGATATCAAGAACTAACAATAGCACTCGTGACATGCTTAATACTAGCTCGCGGACATTTATAATAAGTAGTCAATTGGATGATTAGTCAGTGACATACATAATTGTGGTGGACATAGTTATAAAAATCATATAATTTCCAATTAAATAATTTATATAGAATCAATAATGCGTGATGTGATATGTGACATGACAATCCCGGTGCTTCGATGAAAGACAAAAACAATATGCCATCGGGATTTTGGGATTATATACATTTGGGTAGATCACGTACAAATGATAATTGCGATGATGATCAAAGTCATCACAACTTGCAAGAAGGACTCTTTCAAATTGCTACTCAAACCTGCAACATTCTAGTTCAAGTTAACAATACAAATAACATCAATTTAGGATCGGGTTTTAATTATAAAGATTTTGACACAAAGCAATTTGGAGAATGTTCAACGACGCAAGATTTAGCGAAAAAAGCTTTATATGACTTAGAGCAGAGTGTTGTACTGCTTCAACCGAAAGAGGGTAAATTACCAGCAACACCAACAAAAGTCCGCTTTTCTCGTTTGTCTGAATATAGACGAAGACTATCGGTAAGTTACGATCTGCTTGTTTCTTTTGGGATTTGTTTATAAATGATGTCTATGGTGGACTCAAAGGAGCTCAGACTGAGTACTCAAAGTAGAAATGAAATGATTGGACTCTTTGTGACAAAATTGAGAGGAGTATGTTGAGTTACGTAATAAATGAACGGTAATGAGGAGATTATCAAAATGGTCATTAAAAGCACCACGTCATATCCTTCTGACCCAAACTTAATTTAAAAGTCTCTTCTTCTTAAAATGATTAATTGAAATATTGAATGCAATTTACTGTTGAGGTAGGATTACTGTTGCTTACACAAGCTATTCATTCATTTCTAAGTAAATTGCTTACTTAAGGATATTGGAATATTATTTTGGATGTCGATTGGTTAATAATTTATAAAACGTGCAATGACTTTTTGTTGTTGAAAATTCTAAAGTGTGACTAAATAGCTTCATGCCTTTTTGTTTTGGTTCATTCTTCAAGTTTCTTACTTATAAAATAGTGATTTATTTTGGTAACAAGTTGTAAAATTCCTTTTGGAACTAATTTAACAAAAGCTTTTCCCAAAACTTTTTGTAGATTCATATGAAGAAAGTTTCCTTCGAGCAACACGCGATTTCCTCCCATTTCAATTTCCAAGAAAACATAAGAACAAGCATATACTTTTTATTATTAGTTGTAGCATGTCTAACATGTTGATAATTTCGAGACAGGAAGTTATATTTTCAAAGAAAGTTTTTCATATTTAAGGAACATTAAATATTTAAAAAAGGGTGGAGTGCTAAGAAGTTTATAAATATTTAATTTTCAATTCTAAAGCTTTGGTGCTACTCGTTAATTTCATAAAATATTCAAATCATTCAACAAAATAGTGAAATTAACTCAATGCTAGGTATTTACATTCACACCAATCCTCTTCATGAATGTTCATGCCATAGCTTTTAAATAAAAATATATACTTTTAGTACCTTAATGGCAGGTTGATTGAAACTTTGCTCTCAAAGGAAAATCATGAGCAATGCTCTCAATATTACTCAATATGCATTTGTAGCTGAGTTGAATGATTGTGAATATTGTTTTAAGATTTGAAAGCGAATGGCTGTTAATGGATATTCAGAACTGCTTTAAACTTAGAATCATCTAAATATTAAAATTTCATTAAATTCAAAAAGCTTTTATTGAATTTTCTAACTTTACTTTTTCACGTCCTATTGAGCATTCAGAAACGATAAGGAACTATTACGAATATTCATAACTTTTTATGACAGTTTTCATGACCCTCAACGCGTATTAATGTTATGGAATTGTCCATTTTCATTACTTTTCATATTTTCAATATCAAGGGACAGGTCAGGATCAATTCAACGTTGAATGTTTCAAATTAGTTTTTACGCATTGAACTTTTTATTTTGTTTATTCATTTGTCATTCCTGGATTCCTTGTATAAAATTGAACAACCGACGTATCGAATATTTTTTTTAAAACTGGTTCAATCAATAATTCAATGATAGTCGAAAAGTAATCGAATGACATATAGGCACAACATTAATTTATCACAGACATAATTACATCCTTCTCAAAAAAATTATTGTACATAAAACAGACCATTAATGATAAAATCTGCTTTAAAATTTTTGTTGCATTGTCTAGGGATCGTTCACTTATGACGTCCGAAAATAACGATCAATTTTCAAAAGAGAACAATGGAATTCCAGGAATTTCTATTGCACCAATCAGAGTTGCCACCTATCGAATTCCTATCAAAGGCAAAAATCTATCCCAGGCATTACTTTTGTATAGGCAGAAAGTTTTGCCTTTGCCTAGACATGCCTAGTCAAAGGCAATACCTAGCCAAAGGCACTGCCTTTGTAAGATTAAATCTACTATAGAAATTCTCTTTTACCTTTAGTCTTACTCGTTGAGTTTTTTTTTTTAAATTTAAAACACCTTTTTTTCTTAATTTGAATTTATTTGAGCATAATAGTGAATCATACCTTCTTTTAAACCAATAATTTGCTACGTCGAAAATTTAAAAAATTTAATTTGTCGTTATCAAAAATTTTGTCGCCTTGGATAAATCAAAGTTCGGCGTTTCAGTCATTTGGAGGGGGTCTGTAGTTTTTCAATGGTTCAAACAAAAGAAATTTTGCATTATTGTTCAAAAACTCAACGAGTAAGACTAAACGTAAAAGGCAATTTCTATAGTAGATTTAATCTTACAAAGGCAGTGCCTTTAGCTAGGTATTGCCTTTGACTAGGCACACTTTTTTGCCTTTGGCTAGGCAGTACCTTTGATTAGACACACTTTTTTGCCTTTAGCTAGGCTTGCCTATACCTAGGTGTTGACTAGACAAAGGAAAAAACTACCATGCTCCGTTGAGGCACCTTTTCAAAGGTACCTATCTGACAACCCTGCCACCAATAATCAAACAGCTATTACCAAATTTTACATAAATTACAAATCACTTGAACTAGACGAAAAAGTCGAAACAGATAAAGTCATAAACTTTTTGAAAGAAATCAACTTATACGATTTCATATAACACTGATACACATAATGTCCTGTTCTGTAGTTCGAAAAATTAATATGAAAATATGTTAAAAAAAATTGGATTTGAAAATGGTCTTAAAATTTATTTAAAAAAAAGGACCTTAATAAAGATAAAGAAGAAGAAGAAGAAGAATTTCTATTGTTCTTTTCTTGCTGACCCCCCCCCCCCTAGACGTCATAAGTGAACGCCCCCCTACAGAAATGTGGAAAATCACATAACAAAGAACCGAGAATGTTCGAGACGTTTATCAGTGATGAAACAATAGCAAGGAACATTAATTCTCTATTTTTTGATTCCTCGTGACTTTCCATTTCGGGTCATTCATTAATAATTTCCTAAAACCTTCCACTGTCGTTTATGACTACACAATTAGTTTTTATTGACATAATGTATCAAGAGCTTTTTACTTCTTGTTTCGTTGCTGACAAAAAGCCGAGGAAATTTTACAGTCGTATATTTTTGTCCTTACTGAAGGAAATTTCCTCTGTTATCATTTTGCTTATAATCATAATGGACTGTCAAGTGAAAGCTTTACGCTGTTTAGCATAGATTAGGTAAAGAAATGTGCTTTTGTAGTTATTTTGTCTGAAAACCTTATAAGTAAAGTTGTATTTTCCAGCCAGAATAGCAAACTTAATTTTAGTGAATTTTACGAACCAAAACTTAACTTAGTCAATCTTAATATTTCTTAACTCATTTAAACTTACCACATTTAAAATGCGCCAATTTCTCTTCTTATTTATAAAATTTTGTTCGTATCCTTCTGATTTTCCGGTATTAACATCCATATTAATTTCATTGATTTTTTTTCACACCCGTTTACTTTCAATCCGTCATTAAAAAACACTCTTATAAGCATTTCTACGATTCCATTAAAAAAATGTGCTGAATTTTTTCTTTCTTTTTCTTTACAACAAAGAAAAGCTTTCGGTTATAGAATATTATAAAAAGCACATAGACATTTCATAACAAAATCAAATATTCATTAAGCAATCAAAGTCGATAATAGCTCATTTGTTAATTATTCATTATGGGTGCGGTGTAATCATTATTAATGATTTTAGTGGGATGTCCATCTTTATACAAAGATTATAATCTGTGGGAGCCTTGGTCTTATCTAATAGGAATGTTTTTTACT